TGACTGATGGGCGGCGCTACTCCCTTCGAGTGCGTGAGAAGAAGAAGTTGTTGTTGTTCTTGTTGTTGTTGTTGTTCTTCTTCTTCTTCTTCTTGTTGTTGTTCTTGTTGTTGTTGTTGTTGCTGCTGTTGTTGTTGTTGTTGTTGTTGTTGTTGTTGTTGTTGTTGTTGTTGTTGTTGTTGTTGTTGTTGTTGTTGTTTTTGTTTTTTGTTTTTGTTGTTGTTGTTATTTTTTGTGTTCTTGTCGTTGTTGTTGTCGTTGTTTGTTGTTGTTGTTTTTGTTTTTGTTCTTGTTGTTATTTTTTGTGTTCTTGTCGTTGTTGTTGTCGTTGTTGTTGTTGTTGTTGTTGTTGTTGTTGTTGTTGTTGTTGTTATTGTTGTTGTTGTTCTTGTTGTTGCTAGTGTTCCTGTGGTTGTGGTTGTGGTTGTTGATGTTTTCAGCCTGTTAGGTTCTGAAGACCACTTTTTTTGGATCAACACAAACAATTGGATGATGCGTTCCCGGGTTTGTTACCAGATGATTTGATGTGTGAACCATTCACTATGTTCTGCCACTGATACTTCAGTATGTTTCTGATAGCGGATGAGGTTACCAACTGTCAGATAGCTAGGGTATTTGCCCTATTTCCCTAGCTTCAGCAACACAGAAAACGTGAATGCCTTGGAGGTTCCTTCCTCACTCAGAGAACATCGACACCACATCGACATTGATGGGCGGATATGTCAGGTTTCGACAATCCCTTGAGAGCTTGTTTGGTACGAAGACTTGTGCCTTCTAGTTTGGAGTGGTTGGAACTGGTGGCCCACTTCTTGGACTTGAAGGTGCAGAGGAGGAGTATCTTCGTGCTTTCCGGAATCGATCTGACCAAAAGATGGACACATTTACTTGCTGCATTGGTAAGGGAAGAGGCAGCAGCTCTCAACACTGGAACCGGCGAGGCACTAGCAGCGCTTTGAAGCCCAGATGCCTTTGGTCTCCTTCCTATGTAAACAAGCGACCATCTCAGCTCCAACATGCACAGCAATTTGTGAACATCAAAGTGCAGATTTCGTGGCAGGCGCAGCACTTAGTGAACTTCATGGAAGGCAGGCGCTACTGCCACTACCACTGCCACACTACCCTACCACTACCAGACTACTTCCACACTACCATACCACTACCAGACTACCATACCACTACCACTCTAACACTACCACTCTAACACTACCACAAGTACAACAAAGTTGTCTTCTCACTCAGAACTTTGTTTGGGGTCTCTTGCTGGCATCATATGAATTGGTGCCTTGCGAGTCATTTGGGACAATTTCTGTTACCCATGCTCAACTGAAATGGGATGGAGCAGCTGTCGGGAGGCGTGGTAGCACTTTGTTCTAAACAAACCCTAGGGATCCAAGTGTCTTCTCAGAGGGCGATTGGAGACACGACTATGTAGCTTTGGACGGATCCCTAATGAAAAAATCCAGATCTGTGGATTCCTTGGGGTTTGCAGTCTTCGGTTCACCCATGTTCACCCCTGTTCACTGGCCTTAGCTGAGTTTGATGAACCTTAGAGACCTTTAAAAGTCTTAGGTCCTGGGCCTAGGTTCTTGTTTTCTTCCCTGTGGACTCCCCTTCAGCCCCTTCAGGTTGAAATGTTACTGAAGTAAGTGCTCACGAAGCAAACGAGGCCGATCACTGACTCATCAGGATGATCAGGCCGAGTCCCACACTGCCAGGAACTATCCCAGACACTACTGAAGGATGATTATTCCTCCACCAGCCTTCAGTTCACTCACAACAAATAAAAGGGACTCCCGCCAACGGAAACTGAACTCAGGGTTGCTATATGTTCTCCCCCCATTGGCAGCCTCCACCTGATTTCTCGTGTCTTCTCCCAGGTTTCCACGGACCGTTTGGGATGGCTTCGGCTTCAAAAAAGCCGCGCGAGGGCGCTGGCGGAACAACGGGAATGCACCATGAGGGACTTGAGCAAATCGTTTCAGTGAAGACTCCTACTTATACGACTAGTGTACTACTTCTGATCCCGGCTTCTTTGAAGTGGTATCCGAGGGGAGGCCGCGTAGAAATCTGCCGTATCTAATTAATTGGTCTAAGAGAAAAGGATTGTTTAGCTGGTGAACCCTTTGGCAAACCCTTCTATACTCAGAGTTTGGTGAAGCAGCATTAGATCATCAGACATCAGCGATGAAGTCACAGTGGCGTGAAAAAGCACAACTCCTCCTTCAAGTTCATGCACTCAGAATGGGCTTCTTCCTTCGGGAATCCCGGTTCAACCACGTGGCGTGCATGGTAGGATGTGGTAGGATCCTTGTAGGTCATTGGGGTAGACAGTAGACTTCCGCGTACCCGGCGTACCCGGGAAAACAGTGAATCACCCTTCACTAATTTGTTTTTTAGGCAGGGGATTGGATTCTCCACCCCACTGTGCCACTAAAATAAGATGGGATTTCCAGCCCTTCTTCAATTGATTGTCCACAATCTTAAACTTGATGGGCTGATTCTAAGAGAAGAACAGCAACAACAGTTGGTTCGGTTGACTAACACGGCTCAGGACTCAGCAGGGCGTCGTCCAGTTTGCTGGTGAAGAGGGAATGAATCCCCTTTGCCGCCTCCCTCGGCTTTTCTCATTGGTTTGGCCAACCAAACTCTTTGAGGCAAACAAAGGGGGTTCGACTCCTTGTCTTTGTGGCCTTGCACAGGATTCCTTGAATCTAAAATGTTATGATGATTACTGTATACAGTCATACAGTTATACCTGATATTGCATAAATAGTTGCATACATATATCGTTCCAAGATAGAAAGCACTGCAGAAAGGGGGTCCGGAGAGTGTGGAATGCAGCATTCCTGGCTGGTTCCACCCGGATGACGCCCTTAGATTCCAAGGTTTGACTGATGGATCTTTAAGCTAAATAGCGCTAAGTAAGACACCCCTATGGTCTTCTCCTTTGCCTAAGAAGGATGACCTGTTCTTCTGCCGTGTCGGCGGACCGCGAGATCGGTACGGACCACGAGATCGGTACGACCACTGACTCATGGGACGACCACTGATCATCCTACATCCTACATTGGGGTGGTTTGTTCCAGGGTTACACTCCTGAAAACTAACATGATTACCGTGGAAAACCACCACCTGTTTGTAGTGGATTTCATGCTCTTCCTCTCGGGGCCATTCTCCACTTCCCTGTTAGTTCCAGGGAGTGTAATGTAGGCATTTGTGTCGGAGTGTGCCGGATTGTTATCACATCCAGACTCCACTCGATCTGTGGAAGCTGCTTCTTCACCGGTGGTTTGGGCTTCAGTTTTGCTGGACGAGACGCGCGGCACCCGCTCCGACTCGCCGGAGGCTTAGCACCGAGGTTCGGTTCTCTGGGTGGGTTCTTTGCACAAGGAGTTGGACGAGCTGCATAGGGATTGGTGAGGTCATTCCAAACGAGCTGCAGTGCCTGCAGTTGCAAGCCCCTATATGCTCCAAACATTGCTTGGCCACTCAAAATACACCATATAGAGATTTGAGACCCCACCCCCCTCCAAATTTGGGTCCGGCCCCTACTAATGAAGGGTCCAGACTTCGTGTTTGTGAGGTTGGAATTTTCACAAACGGTTTGATAGCGGGGCTTACGGGGTTTCAGTCTACAGCCATGAAATGCTTTGGGGGCCAGTTGTTGAAGTCCACATTTGGACTTTTTCAATGACAGTTTGCTTTGGCTGATCAACATCATAGTTTGATAATGTTATATAGATGATCCTGAAGGCACACTTTTGACCATACTTCTCCGTGAAGTAAATTTGTGGATGTCCCAGTTGAAGTCCATCCCGTTACAGTCCTACACCCTGGGGAGTTGGCTCGTTCGCGTGGGGTGCCTCCGAGACCTTTTTGAACTTGAAGATTGAAAAGTGCTCGCATCACCTCCAGATTGTTGCCAAGAGTTTTTTTTCATATATTTTGCAATGTTTTCTCCCATCAACATTGGAACCTGTTGAGCAAGACAACCTGGACCTCTATTGTGTTTTTTTGTTTAATCACACTCTCAATGGATGATCTATGATGGTCTGGGCACCTCTATACCCACTGCCACTCCGAACTGGACGCTGAAGCGACAAATGCGTTGGTCTTCTGCTCGATGCCTCCAGGGCGACACCAGACGTGTTCGGGGACAGTCGCACCACTGGCTGAGGGGTGTTTTGGAATGAACAGTGGCTGAATATGAAAGGAATCTCCCCAGGAAGTCTGTGGAGAACCTTTATATATATATATATATATTATATATACTTGCACCCCGGAGTTCCTTCACTTTGCTCAGTGTACTTTATGTATAATATATATATATATATATATTATAGTGATCACCAAATAGAGGACCGTGAGACTACGGTTTCCAATACATTTTCTAGGTGGGGATCTACGAACTTCTATCTATTTGGGGGTCTGTAAAATTAAACCCTTTGTGGGGGCTGTGGCGGGGATTGGTTTCCCTCGAAGCAAGAACAGGTGGAAAAAGGTTAACCTTTAGTATCTTCCAGGGAAGCGGAGGGACTCGGCCGTTACAAATAGCGTGATGGAGAGTGAGAGTGCCAATCGTGAAGCCTTCTCATGGCAGCAGAAACGCGGGAGGTGCATATATGTTTCACTAAGTGCTAGGTTCCCTATCCAAATACCTTCTCACCTTCTCAGGTTTGGTACGACTGGACCCTCCAAGCCTACACAAAAGTGTCGAACACACCACCTTCTCAGAGGGTATGTGGGATCCTCAGGGTATCGGGGGCTCATTCTTCCCTCATTCCCTGAAAATGAGGCACCCTAAGAACCGGGGCCCTCAAATATAAAAGGTTTGAGGGCTTTTTACACCCCTGCTCCGGGGATTCTTAAGGCAGGAGTTCTAAGCGGGGTTCCATCGGACATCCTCTTCAACTGGTGCTCCACTCAACTCCTTTCCACCGGTATCCGCCATCGCTGACTCCATCGCTGACTCCGAAGGCAACGATGGCTGACGAGGCCGTCGAAATCGGTCGTGGCGGTCGTCCGGGCGGGTCCAAGCCGTGGCAGGGCGATGGGAAGACCAGGGCCCGCCGAAGTGGACCAGAAGAGTCACGACCAGCCCTGGTTCCGAGTCACTGGAAGAGACAACCGGCCCTGCTCGGCCATGAATGAGGTTCGGGGTTTGGACAGTCCGATCGGTCCGATCACTGTCCATCGGAAGGAAGAATTGGTACAGAAATGGTTTAATAGGCCAAGGAACTGAAAAGGAGGAGACGAACTTTCTGTTCAACTACTGTAAATGCTTGAGAACAAGTCAAAAGATGCACGAAACAACTAGTTTCTCAAGAGTCGGTAGATGTTCCATCCTTGTTGGAGACTCCCACTCCACTAGGTGAAACATTGAACAAAAACATATACGGCGCATGATCAGTCAGCCGGCCAAGAGTGACCACAACCACGAAACCAAATCCTTGGACCCTAGACCCGAACCAAATCCTTGATATTTTGAGGGTCTTGCTTTTAAGCTATTAAAGGTCATTTGTTCGTTTTCCCTCTGGGTAAATCCATGTATACATCCTTTTCTGCATGTGACAATATGTGACATATTTGTACGATGCCCAGCAGCCCAGCGAATCCGGGCCTGGATGCTGGGAAACCCGGACACCCGTCTTTTTTCGGACTCGTCCCTGTTTTCTTTTTTGCCACACGAGACTGACCGGCGACCGGCAGGAGGGCAGTGACTTCGAGGAGGGTCAAGTGCGAAAGGTCGAGGCCACCGATGGAGCCGTGGGTGGTTGCAGAAACGCGAGGACTCGAGGCGGACAGGGACAGGGTGGTTTGTTGCAGAAACGAACAAACAACTACGCGAACGGGCTCGTTTGGAAGAATTTGACCTCCCTAAGAATGGGGGCCCCTCTCCAATGGAAAGGGTTTGGTTCGGGTCCGGACCCCTGCGAACTGACGGGCCCAAGGATTCTGAGGGATCAATGAAGGAGATTTTCCCCAAAACCTGCGGCAGGCATTTGCTAGCACCACCTACTTCAGGCCACCTCTTTGCTTGTTACCACATAAAGTTTGACCTTTTTTGTTCCGTTCTTGTTCCCGCACGGTTTTATAATGTTTTATATAATGTGTGATTGTTGCTTCTTGAAGAGATTTGCATGTCCTGGAAGGACTGATTATCTGCATAAATCATCTATAAAGAGAAACATCGTGATTGGTAGGGTTGAACTTGGGCAGACTTGATGAATGGAGCCTGCTAAGAACACTCAGGACATCCACAGACCATGACCATCCTCCATGCCCTCGTCATCCGGTCCGTCGTCATCCGGACGTGGCTGCCGTGTCTGCCAGACCATCCCCGATGCCGTGGACCACTTTCTCGGAAGAAGCTTGGACTGACCTGATGAAAATCCCACGGGAAGTGGACGAGAGCTGTTGACGGATGTAACACCCCAAACTAACCCCGAGCGAAACAGGAAGATGCACATGCACAGTAAAACATGGTAAAGCCATGATGTGATCAGGTCAGACATTGTTTTATGTTGTTTTAGTTGTTTTGTGTTGTTTCTTAGCTATGTTTTTTCAGAGTTGCTTCCCTTCACGGTATTTATCACCTCACCAAAACACCGACCCTTGGTGCTGGCGCCATGCGGTTCCGCCGGTGTCGGGACCGGTCTGGGCCGCCCGGGTGTGGAGGAAATCCGTCGTTTCGCAGGGACGTTCAGATCGGGTGTTGGTCTCTTTCTACATGGGGATGTGTTTTTTTTTGTTTTTGCCTTGCTTTATGCTTGGTCCAGGGTCCTTGAGTCCATACGTTTCACTTGCGAATCTTTGCAGGAAGTTATGATCATTCAAACTTAGCTCCAATGTGCTGCCAACAAAACCCCGGAGTGAGGGGAACCATGTTCTGCAGGGTTCGCTCCTGTATAGGATGACCGTTTAGTGCTGAACCTGGCTTGGACATAATTTTGGGACCTCCACATCCTCAGGTGATTTGAGGAATTGGACTGGAAGGCTTCAAGAGATGATACATTGGATACACCTAGGGCGTTGCCCAGTAAAACCAGTGACAGTCGGTCAATACTGTTGCTCATTATCACTATTCACAAACTATCGCTATTTTCGAGAACGGCATTCACCAACCATCCTCATCCACTGGGCCCTGGTCATGGGATATCGGATATATGGATGTTCCAAGTTCCAAGATGCACGGCACGGCTGACGTCAGGGCCAGACCCGGGAGGGCGAAGTTCATGGTTGCTGGTGGTGCTCAAGGTGACCCTGTTATCTTCTCTATGGATAAATCCCCTTCTGGGCTGGGGAGGTGGTGTTTCTTTTTGTCCCGATTCCGTTCAGCAAATCCAAGTGATCTGGGGAGGGAACCCAGTGATCAGAGCCATGAGCATCATGATCTCATGTTTGCCCATGTGACGACCTGTGGTGTGGGTGTGATGTGATGTCCCGTGATGCCATCGTGGGTCCGGTCCTCACCGGGCACACCCGTCGCGCAGCTTGTTCTGCACCAAGGCCTATTGGATTCCATCAAGTGCGGAGACCAAGCATAGGCATTAGATGGCCCACTCGGCACTGCTGTGACCCGATGTACCTTGCAGGTAGGTGGACCCAGGTGTGTTTGGATTCAGGTTTATGTTTGGATTTGTGTGCGAAATGGAGATGTTGGGAGACTAGAGACGTTTTTGGAAGCTGTGCCTATCTTCTTGAACATGTACTCCAGCCAGAGTGGATCGAAGAGATTTCGCTGTCACTCAAGATATTCAGAGAGAATATGTTGCGTATCCAACCCAAAGCATGGTGACTTTCCTGACGGAAAAGCCGTGTCTTCGTATGCCACTTACAGGTCAACGATCATCAAACTGTGCTTTGACTTCAAGGGCCAGTCTTAGTACTTCAGGCTCCAGACCAATTTTTTGGGATTGTTGTGCTAACAGTAACAGAGTTGTTTTCAGGTACGTTCAGAGTGTCTGGGGGATCAGCCAATCGAAGGCAGCCGTTCGCTCGAAGCGCTCAGACCATAGTCCTTTGTCATCGGGAAGGACTGATGCGAAGTGGGTAAGGACAGGTGTCTCTGTCTTAGAGCTTTGAAGAATCACCATGAGCGCATCCGCACCCTGTCTTGCCCAGTTGGTGACTTTGCAGAGGAAATGGATGTTGGGATTGGTCTGACGCCAAAAAAACACACGTCTGGATTTTGGTGTATGAAGGTCACAGACCAATCTGGGTGCGACGTGGCCTGAGTATCGACGTCTGGTCGAAAGACCTGCGATCGACTCATCGGTCCTTGGTCGAAGTGACTCGACTCGACTCAGGTCACAGAACATCCCAGAGATCAACCGACTCTACGTGCCTTGGTCGAATGGGTGAACCCTCGGTCACTCGCGTGGAAAAACGCGGACTTAGACCAGCGGAAAGGACGCTGCAGCAACCTGTCAGAGCCACCTGAGTGTTTATTTGGGATGTTTGGTATAGATCATGTTGACTCATCGATGAAGAACATCTATCTACCTGGGTGGGCAAGCACCTCCAGGCCTCTGTTTTCAAACATTAACAGTCAGCATCACATGAGTACTGTACACCTCCCTGTACTGTCCAATACTCCTGAATCTCCTGGTGTTATTACCTAATTCAGGTATATCACACAGTGGTCAGTACTTCAGACATGGTAGAGGACCGGTTTTTGTCCCAGCTCTCGGTGCATGCGGAGTGGCTTTCACAGGCGTCCCCCTGCTTTTGGTCCTGGTGGGCCTTCAGAGAGCATACTGCCACTGTGTAGTATACTGGGGCCTTCATACGGACTTGATAGAAATTACAACTATAATGTAGATGGGTGAATTCGTATACAAGCCCCTATCTGGATATGTAAAACCATTCTCGTTTCGGGGGTGTTCTTATTAATTAACACTCTACGTTCAACGCCGAGTCCCTCTTTCCCGATGACTTGAGACTAGGAGACCGTCTTCAACCAGCTCACCGAGCGGTACTACAACAAGACGAGCCTTGGCACGTCAACGAAGCAGAAGGGGTAAACCCCGTGGTTTGCCGGGTCGAATGAACGATACATACGGTGACAGGTATGATTCGGAATTCGGTATAGTGCATAAATTACAAGGACGGAACAGGACGGATGAACTGCAGACGATGATTATTACCCATTCTTGTGCTTCCAAGATCTTCAAGTGTTTGTTGGTTGGTTGGTTGGTTGGTTGGGGCCACACAAGCAACAGCAATAAATTAAAATAAAGACACCTGGCCAATTTACTAAGTCCATCCCCACGTTTCCCCACCAACAAAAATCCGAAACATCACACTTGCTTTTGACCAACCCCCCAAAAAAACATACCTCCCACGCTTCATCCGAACTTCCTTATACCATCTTATACCCACACTTGGGATCCACACATTTACCAAACACGAGGGTGTTGTGGAGAGCTTCGGGCTTTGGAGGGTCCAAGAAATCGCCTTCATAGGATACCCTGGTGAAGCCCCACCTTTGTCGAATCGCCTTGTTCATCTGCAGGAGGGTTCTCCACCTGTTTGGGGGAACAAATCTATGGAGTCTGTTCAACTGTTTATCCAGGAACCGAGGCGTTTCTTTTTTTTCGTGTCACCTGTTACTTCGTTCCATCTACGAAGGTATCAAGGAGTATGGTGCGTATCATCGACCGTGTGCGCGCGGTGTCGGCAACGAAGAAAGCACTGAGGAAGTGGCCAAGTGACTACGCAGTCGCTCAGGCCTTAGGGCAGAACGAGGCGCTGTTCTTGATCCTCTACAAGGAGACGCCGCAGCTACGTTTGTGCTGCACGAGTTTAGTCCATTAACTCATAGCAAGTGTGTATTGAAATAGCTACTGTAGACCTACCAAAAAGACCCCCCTGGAAGAAGGAAAGTAGACCAAACCCCATTGGGCCAGGGTCTCTCCTTACTGAAACACACGCCCATGTGTGTGAACAAACCAGCGAGTCTGGGGAAACAGATGGTGACACGCGAAACGCTGGGCAGGTGCATGTTTCGTTCCGCATAGACACGGCGTGGCCGTTGCCTTTTGCAGATGTCACTGATGAACTATGTCCTGCTCACATATTTGTTCATAGTTTTTGACCAACAATGTTCCGGAACACTACCCACCTTTGAAGACCATCGACGTCACCATTCACAAACTGTACTCCTACAAGATGACATTGATGGCAAAGACATGCAAAGACTAAAACATCGTTGTTTAAGACAAATTGTATCCTGTTTGGATAGTTATTGTGTGTTTTTGGAAAGAGTCTACAGAAGCAGCTCCTTTCTAGCATTCTGCATGCCTCCTGCCCAACAAAAGAACATAATTGTTTCTCGTGTTTTCTTCCCCCAAGATTGGAGGGATGAGTTCCGCTGTTCTGTTGGGGCCGTTCCTCTCAACGAGTGCCAGGAGCTCTATTATAGGCGCTTCTTTTGCCGTCCGTCTTCGGGTTGACGGGTTGCCGGGGTTTGGTTGGGGGTTGCCGGGGTGCCTGGCGAGGCGAACTTCGGAGTTGGGTGGCTCGGTGTCCTTGGGAAGAACCACAAGACTCTAAAGATCCACAGGTTTGGTACGACTGGATCCTCCAAAGGTTTCTATTTGTATAGGTGTTGAACACATCCCCTTTTGCAGAGGGTGTCAGTGGAATTCATAGGGAGCGCTTCTCAAAGCTTGGCTAAAGTGGGAGGGACAAAGTGGGACAAGTGTCAAGAACCTCGACTCTATGGCCCTATGTAGTTCTTGTCGATCCACAAGGGTATAAAGCTTGGGTTCAACACACTGGCGAACCATATTCCTGTCCGAGGACCCTGACATTTGCAGCATTTGTCTTCACCACCTGTGGGAAGGGGTGTCAGAATGGTCACTGGACAGTGGAATTGGAGTGTCGCATTGCGCAGCGATGACCGGGCCTGGATTTGATGTGTTGTTGTTTCCCACTTGGCCTGTTAGAGAACCACATTGGTCCACAGTGTGAAACTATATATGCCAACGAATGGCCTTTGGGAAACAATTCGATATTTATGTGTATATATATGTGAGAGGTCATGGGTCACTTGGTAATTAGAGAGTTGGGAGAAGATGGAGACACACTAAAGTTGTTCCATGTTGTTCCTTTTAGAACATTAGTGGCAGACCACACTTCGCACTGCGAAATCCCTGGCTGGGTGGGCCTTGGTTTTTGTGATCCTTCTGTTCACCATGACACTGTTTGGGCCCAACAGTTCGGAACCCGCCCGTCGACACCCGAACCAACAAAAACGCACGTCATTTCTTCACCCCCAGCCCCGGGTCCGATGCCAGGCATATCTATGCCAGACTGAACCCCGTGTCCTTTGAGGCCCGTGTGGCGAGCGAACGACTCGGAAACACCGTGGATGTTGTTCCAAGCGAGGAAGCCAAGGTTCCAAGCCCTAAAGCGGGAGGACAACTATGGAGATGGATCCACGAAAGGCCAGGCTTTGCCTGCGCATACGACTTGAGTCGGGCCCTTGGCAGCCTGCTGGGTTGAGGAGGAAGACATGAGTAGCCATTTCTTGTTTTCTCAACTAAGACGATGTCTATAGGATTCGAAGAACCATTGCCAAATTGCTTCAATGGTCTTTATCAAAGAACCAGTGTTTTACCATCTATAAGGATTATTACACTACACCACCATGTGACCCCAATTCTTTTAATGGTCGCACTGAAGGCCAGGCGATTCCCGGGCGTGTTTGGGCTGCGGTAGCTGGTAGACCCTGTCACAGACCCGTCGTCGTTTTGGCTCACCACCAGGGGCCTCCGCGTCTCTGGGGGGATGGTGTCGTTGAATGTTTTTGGGAGCGATCCGTGGGGATGGGCGATTCACTCCGGTTTCGGATGGCATGGCCCTTGCTTGGAAGGCCATCTACGATCTAGATACAAAACACAAAACATCACAAAACAGTTTTTGTCCACTGTTCAGTTCATAGGAGTTGTTTGGCGTTGGAAGTCATATGCCTTCCACGAGGTGAGCAGCTTTCCGGCTGCCTAGCAAATCATCGCAGGGTTTGGTTTGCTTAAGTTTATTTACAAGTTTGTTTGTTTCTTTCCGGGTGAGCAACTTTGAGAATTCATGTACTGCTGCAATTGAGCCTGTTCTCACAGAATATTAGTCTTACAAGGGTCCATGTTTCCCTCAGTGGTACTCTGTACTGGAGATTGCTCAGCACTGCTTTATAGGAATATGTGGGAGGTTTTATGAGGTTTTCTATTGCAGCATAAGGTTTCTTTTATAGTGATAGTCATGGTATGAAACCATAGACCATGTAAACATAAGGTTTCTATGGTATGAACCATAGACCATGGGTTTCTGCATCATATGTCCCAAGGGTTCTTTTGGTTTAGAATCGTCGGAATCGCTCGGAATCGACGGAAGGTGCTTGCCCGTTTAGAATCGCTCGGAGGGTCTGGTGTCCTGTGGTCTCCACACCTCAATCGGAACTTGGTGAAAGGACTCAACGTTGGACTAGGACTTAGGAGGAAGGTACGGACCTACGGTCCAGGAGGAAGCCAATTCGTTTGCTCTTCGTTCTGAACCTGAGATGGCCGGGACATTGGCAGCTGCATCTGGTTTTCATGGCAGGACCGCGTGGGCTCGTGGAAGAACTACACGCAGCTCTTAGATTTGATGATCGAGAACCTCTCGGACGGTGAGGAGCGGCAGCGGAACTCTGGACGAAGGGATTTGACGAACGCATGAGACAGAGACAGCATCAAAACCATATGCCAACACTGCGGACACGTAAAACTATATGCCCGACAATGACACTTCCCTACAGTTTCAATGACCTCCACAGAAGGTATTTCAATAACTGGAAAACCACTTCAAAAACCTTCTTTGGAGGTAGTGGATCCTTGATCTTAGTGATTGTTCCTGGTCGTGGATACAACATGAGTGGTGCAAAGGCCACCTCGCCATTGCCTAAGATTAGCTTTCTTTGCGGTTGTTGAGGCAACTGCAGCCTTCGATCGGAGTGTATTTGTGAATAACAATGTTTGGGAATATGCAGGATGCTCTTGATTGACACAGCTCTATTTGTGCTGTGCACTTAATGGATTGTATTCAAAAACCTGACCTCATCCACAGACTTTGGTTTGGGGAGTTGAACCAACCCCACTGAATCCAGTAGCTGTCAACCACTGGGCACTCACTCAAGACAGGGTGATGAAGCATTGATGTTCTTTTAGCATCTTTTAGCCGCAAATCCCCTTCGTGCACACAGGCATCAAAGGCATTTGGAGGTGGCTCAACCCAAAAATAACACCGACTTGGACCTGGATCGTGCATTTCTCCCTTTTGACCATATGGATGATTGACTGGGTGGTACCCCATGTCTTGGAGGCAAAGGGTATAGTGATGCTCAAAGTTTGAAATCAGATAGAAAAGCAACCCAAACCCCTTGATATATCATTTCCGTCATTGACTTCGGTGAGGACTTAGGCATCGCCCTGCCAGCGCAGTGGTTGTGGGATATCCTGGATGAGTTCGTCTACCACTACCAGCCGGGGGCCTTTGTCCAAACAATTGCCAACCGCTGGGGCTTGAAAAAGGGGGGTGTCGTTCAAGAATTGACATCCTGAAAAGTTCTGAAGTCAGAATATCTACCAGTAGTTCCAAGGATGGTTTTGCGTCCCCTAGTGAGTTGATTGTGGGTGGACCCCTCCAAGTTCGGCGCACCCTTCTAGATTCTTCTGGAACTCCTGGTATACTCGGAGGAGGAACACCTGCTGGTTGAGACACCGAAATAACTGGGAGAGAGACACCGTATAAACCACTGGATTGTAGAGGAAAATGGCCGAAAGATAAAACTGTGAGTCAATTCTTGGGGTCCATATGAGTCAAGTTTAGATCTTAGATGATCTTAGAAGGATTGCGATATGGAGAAAAAACAGATGGTGTTGCAGCAAGCAAGCTATTTCCGTCAGATGTAGCTTGCCATTCAGCTTTTGAGAGGATTTGCCTTCACTAAGAATAGGCGGTTGAATAAAGACGTTGCTCTTTATCTTCCAAATCCTACCAGGACGCGGGCATGGCGCCCCGCGCCTCCCTCTCCACCACCCTGCCAATGTATTGTCGCAAGCGGCTCCAAGGACCTATAGCACCTACTGCCACAAGACAGCCAAGATGCAGAAGGACGCTGTGGCTTTGCACTGCTGGTCATGGTGATGAAAAGTTATAGAGATACCTTTTGATATTGCTTGCTGTAAGGAGGGTTGAATTCCAGAGTCAATTGGTAGTTATGCCTCCTCCACTTGTGGAGTCTGCTTCAGAGTTGTTAGGCCACCCACGCCGATGGAACAGAGCAAGGAACAGAGCCCGATTTGGCTCGGCCTGGCTCGGTCGGGCCTGGTTTTGGCCGAACCAACTTGTGGACTGAGAAGGTTGGGGTGATGCTGCAAGAATCTGCAAGAATCTCGATTGTCCAATCAAGGACCCTTACTACCTGGAACAGTACCATCCACTAAACCCACAGGACTAGTCCCCATAGCACTTAGCAAATCTATAGGGTTTGAGGCCTGAGTTTTGCTGAAATATCCTGAGGACCCATGACCTGGCCCTTCGCTCATCTCCGCCGCAGGATAAGGAGGTCAAGGAGCTCCGGGACAATCCCGGCATTTTCGAGACCACCAAGGCCGGTTTTCCCGGTTTTCCTTCACGCCGGTCCAGAGGGCAGTTTGAAGTGCATTAAACATTGATGAATGTTGTGGTCCACAGAGTAGGCTGCATTTTGAACAGTTAGGGGGATGCGATCAGACTCCAGCAAATGTTCTGTTCCAAGCCCCTTTGAGCAGCGTTTCTTATTGGCATTTGAAGGTTTATTTGAAAGCGGAACTGAAGGTATGCTTCCAGTGTATAGGCCCAGTAGTTACCAAAGTAGACACAGTTTTTTTGAAGGTGAATTGCAAAACAGCCAGCAAGACTTGGGAAGCCAACCAGTCAAAAGTGACAAGTCATGGCATGGAGAAGATGCATTCGTCGTTATGGGACAATTCACCACAAGCAAGAACAAAGCACCTCGCTGGTTGCTGAGGCTGATCTTTCAGATTTACGCCGACCGCTAAGCACCAGTCAGAAACCATCCTAAGAATCCTTGGACCCTCCACAGCAGGGGTTCGGACCCTGAAAAGCCTTCCCATTTCAGGGCCTTGATTCTAAGGCAAGTACATTGCCAGTGGTGGGCAGACCCAACATCCACGATGTTCGTGTTTGCGCCGAAGCCACCGCATGGGGCAGGTCCTGAACTACTTGCATCAGCTCCTCAACAGCGTTTGCCGTAAATTTTGGCCGAGAGCGTACACGGCACAGAGTGTTGGAAACCATTGGAATTTTGGGCAACATGGAGATTTGCAAAAGGACATGATCCACACGGGGCGAGCACATGTAAACTGGGATGCCTCAAGCTTCTGTGAAGTGTTGAAGCTCTCCCTACGGTAGGGCAGAGCCTTTGGATGCCACGCCAAAAATGTTGGAAACGGATTCCAATAGATTCTCTGAGGGAATTGATAGTCATTCTGCTTGGTTCAACTGTTGGGGTCACTATAGGTGCAAAACACATAGCAGTGGACTGGTTTCGTGCATGATAGTGAATGACAGCAGTTGGAAAGCTCGTGGCCATTTGAAGTCGTCCCGATGTGAGGGGCCTGCGGGTTGTAAGCTGCGGGACAAGAGGAGCCCCTCTTGAGAACTGCGAGCTGTTGCTGCAGACCATGAAGATCCTAGGGCCGATGAGTTGGGGGCCTTGTAAGCTTGCTTGCAGCAAGTGAATGTGCGGACCACAGACTCATGGAAAGATCTCGTGGGAGCTTTGGCGCCTCAGGCCACATCCTTCATGAAACCTCTGCTCACGAGCATGCTGAATCAAATGCAGCATGCAGCAGCATCAGCCATCAGCCATTTGCCGCTTGCAGCAACGACAGAACCAGCTTGCATGGCCTTAGGCGAAACTCCACGAACAAGGGATTCATAGGGATTCAGTTGACTCGAGCAACGAGTCCAGTTTCAGTTCTGCCTCGCCTACTTGCACCAATACACATGAACCAGAGCCACCTTGCTCATCAAAGCCAGTTTGTGAATGGCCTTGATGTTTGTGAATTCAGGACAAGGCCAAGCAGATGTGCGTTCAAAATCTTCAATCATTTGTGGTAAGAGCAGCCCAGTTTCTCACATTCTGTGAAGCCCGGCCTTCCTAGCTTACCAAGTCGTGTGCAGAAATCACCGCCGCGACGAAGAGATGAATCCATGGCCATGGGCATGTGTATTTTTTCCTTATTTTAATAAGGAGGCCCCCTGGCCCTGGCTGGGTAGACTGGTCCACTTTCCTTCTTCCACGGGGGTCGGAACGCTCTGGGAGGTCTCAGCACCGTCCGGCACCCAGGTTGGTTCGCTATTCGCTCATCGAGGAGTGGTTGGTGAACCCGGATGGCGGCAATGGACAAGGCGTGTTGCCACGCGTCGGGATCGTCGTGGCACGCACTGAACCGACGCGACGCGTGCGACGCGAGTTCCCATGACAGGACCGATGTTCATCAGCTACCTAAAAAAAGGCGACCCCCTGGTGGACATTCCCTTTCTGAGGAGGATTCGATAAGATCGATAAGCTTTGCAGATTCGACTGAGCTGGCCAAAGTGCTCCGGGGGTGGAAAAACTAAAGTCCAGTTGTTGTTGAACGTGGGTGAACATCGTCTAGCTGCTTCGGCTTGAGGTATTCCAAGACTGGCGATGTTCAAAGCGATGAATGACTAACCTTGCTCAACACCATATGATGGGACCCCCAAGCACCTGGAAATCAGCTTGGCAAGATACCCCTCAACCTACGTAACATTCAAGCAGACACTAATTAGATACGAAAAATACACACACAACTGGTCACTGAACTGGTCACTGCCAGACCTTCCCACACGTCCAAGACACCTGGCTGCTGTGAGGGAAGATCATGCTTTCTGACAGGAGTTGCGACAAGAACCCATACCTGCAGCTGGCCAGACGCTGGCAACAACAGCTTGTTTCATACTAGTACCTGCCTTGACAGGACAACAGGTTGTTTCTGCATTGGCCAAGTGTATTCTTTTTTTCCGGTGGTGTTTGGTGGTAGAAAGCTGAAAGAATGGAAGAAGGTTAATGAAGTAGGTGTGTATTGAAAGATGGGAAAGCATTTGGACCAGTAGAGTATAGAATCCTATGAGGTGGGGGCGCCCCCCATGGCCCTCCGACTCCTGATACTCACCCAAGCGGTGAAGGTGGTCCCCAAGTTCCAAGCGCCTGATGAACAGTTTCGCGCACAGGTGCAGCCTTCACTGCCAGGGGCCCAAGACTGCTAAGTGCTAAGGCCCAAGACTGCCAGGGGCCCAGGGGCCAAAGATTTCAACGACAGGTGCAGGAATGTCATGATACATTAAAACATTTATATAATATCTTATATGTATATATACATACATAATACATACTGTATTATATAATAGATGTATATAGCAAGAGAGAAGGCATTCTCCCCAAGTACACAGTCAGTTCATGACTACTCAGCACTATGCTTAGTTCAGGCGTAGATCAACCTTCACTGTGGTCCAGAAACCTGGGTGGGGGGAATACCCTGCCTGGACCATGCTGTTTGGGTGTCCTGTTTGGACGATCCCATTACTTATGGGCTGATAGTGGACTATCCAGCCAGGACACCCAGAGGGTCAGATGGTCCTGATTAATCTGCAACCGAGCTCGGTGGCATTTTTGGTCGATAGTTTAACTTTGATCTAGGTCTGTGAACCACGCTAGGACACCTGCAACCGAAACAAACACCCGTTGAGTTTCAGCACGTTCTGGTAAACACGCCCGTGGCTCACCAAGAAATGCCCGTAACTTGAATATCAGAAAAATAGAGAAACATTTGCAGACTCAAAACATAAGGTTCTCATGCCGCAGATTTAAAACAGCACACGTTTCGGAAGTTCCAGGTATTTTTATCACGGTCCTTCAACGTGATCTGATATCCCAGTTTGAGGTCACTGGATAGGACTCCACAACCAGGTATCAGAAGCTGGATATCATAATATAAGTTGATTGGGTGTTTATAACCCTCCAATCAGCGACAGTTTTTGCTTTCAGCGGCAATGGATCGAAACCAGACACAAGACCACGTTTTTCAGCAATTGGGGTAGGATGAACATCATCCACAAAAAAAGGCCTGGAGCCCACTTGACCCCGGTTTTGACAGAAAACATATGTTGTATGGTTGGTGGTCCAAAGTAGAGGTTGAAACACTTTTTGAGCGCCATGAGACACTTCCCACTTGCCATACATTTGTGTGTTTCCCACTTGCGGTACTCGAATGTACTCGATGTTAAATCGTTGATCCCCAAACCTAATGACAGGGTGTTCATCTTTTGCACCCCCTCCCCAGCCGGTTCTGATCCCGGGATCCTTCGGCCTGTTTCTTCCGCGTTTGCGCCGCTGTCACGCCGCTAGGACGAACCCACTCGCCTTATCGGCTACTTTGCCCTGATGCAACTCTTGCGGATGCACAGCCTTTTGGGTGACTACCGCTTGGCCATGGAGAGACGCCACACGCCACACGGATGTTCGTGGTGTTTGCGTCGAAACACGCGAGGTTTTCGCGGTGGTCCTGGTCCGGCGGCGCATCGCCCTGACGAACGCCCATCGCCCTGTGTTGTGTGCGTGCCATTTTCTGTGTCACAACTGGGGATTGCTTTTCAGACATTTCCCCAGTTGGCTGTGATGTGATGTGGCTGTGGGTCTTTCAGCCTGGAAGGAAGGAACTCACCCTGGTACACCTGTAGGTCGTCCCTCTTCATTTGAACCCAAGAGCCCAGGGCTCGAGCCACGGGCCGGTAAGGGGAAATACTGAAAGTAGGATTGAATGGATTCTGACCCAGATCTATGGGAGAGATCACCACATACAAAACACACATCGAGAGCTTTGGAATCCTTACCCCGCAAATGGCAGTTTGATGGGCTCAATCATACGTATCATTGCATGCATGATGTTCACTTCTTCAGGAAGTATAAGAATTTCACATGTCTTAACAAGTCCACAAGTTCTCAAGGTGTTCTTTCCGCCTCTGTTAAAAGAGGGTCAAAGCACATCGGAGTGACCCCAAGAGACTCGTCATCGACACCAGGAGACCATCGAGAGCATCGACTTCCGGGCTGAGGCTGGTGGCGGTGGGCGGCGATGTCGCACTGCAAAGAAACCATTTCGAACATCATAGTGTCATACTCCATGTCCGGGTGAAGGTCTTGGTTTACTGGCTATGGTCAATGGGTGCCTCCCAACGTTCAATGATTGTTTGCAGGGATTTGCGATCAGTGGATGTGAAATGGTTGGATTTGGAGGCCTACATTCGCGTCTCGGCTTTGGGGATAACACCTTCTTACTCATGTTTCCGCTGATCCTTGGACAGATGAAGGAGAAGGGTGACTTTGGGCAATCCAACAGGCTAGATATAAGGCAAGGAATTCTTGGCAGTGGATCTTTGGTGTGCGACCTGCGAACATCGCTGTGAAAAAGCCGCTCAACATCGCTCAACGGTTTTTGTTCTGTTCCTGTGTTCAAGAACTGAGCTGCGGAGATTTGGGAATCTGATGACACAGTCCACCAATACCAAGCTCACAGTATGCTCAGTTTGGGATTGGTATGTGAGGATTCTCACATAAACACACAAATTGGTTTGTGTGATTGGCAACCATCCCTCTTGATTCACATCATATTTTGTTTGATCCGTTTGGGACCTGTTTGGGACCCGTGCTACGCCTCTGAGCGAGGAGTCATCCTATCGCTGCCAGGTGCCGCTGTTCTATCGCATCCCTGCCTGTCACGTCACAGTCTTCTACTACCTGGGCTTCGCGTGCGCTAAACCACTAAAGGTCAAACGCTTGGCAGGCTTGGCAGGGGATCCAAGGGATAGGCTAGAACAGAAGCTTTAAAGAAGCTAGCGACTCGGATTATCCGGATGTTGTGGGGGGTGTTGTGCCTCACCATTTTTGCATCTGCAAAGATGAGCAAGGTACATGATGATGCGGAGATATGTAGACGCGTCCAGGCAGGGTTGGGTCAAGTGTGGTGTTCTATGCTTTTGCGTCGCTACGGCCGCTATGGTTTCATGTCATCCAACACCATTCGCTCCGGGTGATGTTATATTTCCGCTCTTTGGAATATCCTTTTTAGGAGCATAATATGTCTTAATCAATCGCAGGTCTTTTAAGCAATCTTGGATCCCACGTCCATAGATGCCAGTCACACCTTGCTTTTGCGCAATGGAAGGTTTTAGTTGAACTCCTTGGGGCTCAGGATCCTAGGAAGATCCGTTTTAACGCCTTTGACCTTCACTTCATCGGAGAAGTTAGAGCATTGATTGATTTTCAGCACCAACCAAACACCGCCATTTCTGGCCCCGATACTTGGCCTTTTGCCCAGGTTCTTTCACCGCCTTCCCTTCACCGTTTTTGGACGGAGCCGAGCCGAATCGAGGACCTTCTCGGACATCTTGGTGTTTTTGTCCAAGATTTCGGCGGTGAACTCCTTGTCCTATCAGTATGACCAGATGCTGAAGAAGCAGGAGCCGTTTTCTGCATCCGCTTAGCGGATGCTGTGACGGATGGATGTTGTAGATGGGTGGTTCATGGAACAATCTTCCACTGGAAGAAGGATCATGAGGATCCCCCCAAACTGACTGCTGACGCAAATTGAATGGGTGGCAAATGGTGGCAATCTTTATTCCAGGTTGGTTTTTGATGGTTTTTGGATGGATGGAACACCTCCCAACTGGTAGGCTTCCATATCGTCACGATTGGAGTCATCGCCCCAAAACGATGAACGATTCATGTCCTTCTTTGGATTGAACCTCTTGATGCTTAAAGGTCAAAGGATCCAGTGGCCACAGAAGATTCCAAGGTCAAAGGATCCGCTGGTGCACAGGCCCCCAGTATCAAGTGGCGTGGGACCCGTGGGACTGGAAAAGAATTCCTCGTCGCGAGTCTAGAGGCTGATGTATGCCCGATCTCACGTCCAGTCCTCGAGTCCTCCATGAGCTTTGCAGTGATTATGAGGTCGGTCCTAAAAGTGTGGAGCGCTGCAAATCGCTCGGAGCTGCATACTCTGAGCTTTCCACTTGGAAATCCGAGGAGCTTTAGGCCCTTTAGGCCACTCGGCTCTGTCTTTTGGGGGAAGCTGCTTGGCATGTCAGGACCAGATGTATGTCCTGCTGCTGATTTGCAATGCGCTTTGCCCGCAACCCTTGGATGAATCCCTCGAGAAGCCCATCCGCGAGAAGCATGCAGGTGCGACAGTCGAGGGGCCGACAGAGGCCGAGGCGGGTCGATAGACCCGGACGTGACGGCTGGGTATCTCGGACAAGGGGTACAAGCTATGCCGGTGTTTGGTTCGGGTCATGTCCTAGGTGTTCTACTGTAGATCAACATTAGGGTGATCCACAGCAGGGTCCAGAAAAGATTAAAAACAAAGGCACATTTGGCTCTAAGCCATAGCCATAGACATGGCCAAACCGTAGACGTCGTCAGTGGGTGACACTATGTGACACTATATCACCGTGGCTCGCCTTTTGCTCAGACTCACCTTCACAAGAGGATGTAATCAAACCCCCAGATGTTGCTCCAAAAGCTATCCTCCCACTCACTCAAAATGGACCACTTCATGGCATGACCATTCTCCTCTACAAAGAGGTGGCAAACTCCGCTTCCATGTGATGTGTTCGTCCAGGTATGGATACCTGGGAGTGTTAGGACCCACTTGGATGAGACCCGGCTCAAGACCCACATGGAACTTTGGAAGACGAGGAAATCGCTACAACCCGACGTGGTTTTCAGGTGCCATGATGGAGTTCCATGTGAATTTTCCAGGGTGTCAATCCATGGCGACGCCATCAATCACCCGCCTGGGTCCACTCACCCGGCTGGGGTCGCCAGACAAGCAGATGCGCCTCCAGCAGGGTGTCGAGGCCTGCTTCGAGGACTGCGGGCCTTCGGGCCAATAGGGAGATGCACGGAGAGAACTGAAGAGCATTCCTGCACATTCCTGCAAAGATCTCTACAGTATTTGTGTGTTTTTTGCAGATGAATCATTGTTTGTTGAGGAACAAAAAACAGCACAAGACTGGTGCATGTCCAAACCAGGACTTATTCTCTTACGCTTGCCCCAAGTTTGTGGCGGCCTCCATGCCCGACCTTGATAGCCGCTGGGCAGATAGAGCCGTCCTCCTGGCGTGGAGTAGCCGTGGAGTCGCAAAGCACCCAACGAAAGACCAGCAACACAAGGGGCTCGGCGGGCTCGGGTGGTTTATTGAACCCCCGCTGAAGAGGTATTTTCCAATAGCCACCCGTCTCCAGGTTGGTGTTGCGGGGGATGCGTTTGCGTTTTTTTGTTGGAAAGATATGAACCAGGACTGACAAGTTGGGATGCAGGACACCCCTTAAGGGGCTTAAGACCATAGACACCCTGCCCGGCCCTGCCCTAAACTTCTGAACAGGGATGGAAGATATGAGACAGTTCTAGGGCCTAGAGAAACTGCAGGAAGCTGGCAGGTCAGTAGTTGGGTGGGAGACCACAAACTTTACAAACCGACGATCTGGCTGAAAAAAGGGGGGCTGCTTTGACAAGCTGAGTTATGGGATCACTGATATCCGTGGCTGTGAATGGGGATTCTTCAGAGATACTCCAGTTTAGGTACTACTGGCATCTACTGGCCAGTGTTCACCGATGTGTTGAAATGTTTTGAACCTTCTCAAAATATGCATGACATATTCAAGATTCTTCAAGCTGTCTCATCCATCCATGAGATATCATGAGATCATTGAACACCATGACAAATGATCCTGAGACACAGGTTCATGTTGCGGACCGAATGCCTCCTTTGGAGCTACTCATCTCCCTATCATTCTCCTATTTCCCAACTCTTCATCCTCCAGCAGACCTCCCTGATTGACCTCCCTTCTGCGGCGGCTGAGACTTGGACAACTTCAATGCCAACGAGGCACACCAGCGACAGCTGCACCTCTTCCTTCAGGAGGCGTCGTCGCGGTGGGGCGGCGTGGCGTGGGGTCCCTGCTCGATTTGCCGACCGGGGACCGGGAAGTTCTGTTCGCCGGCCAGGAGTGTTCTTTTTTCTGCCTGGCCTGTCTGCACAGGATCATGGTTTGGTCAAGAAGAATGTTCTGAGCCCGCGCACAACTCGGGCCACCATGTTTGAGGTGAGAGCACGGATATTGATAGTTTAGTTGCTTTTGGTATCTCTTGGTATTAGAAGGATAGATACTTAGATACAGCCATCCTCTCCACAAATCCCAGCAATTCGTCACAAGTCACCCCAATGCCATGGAACTCATGTTGACAAAGTTCACAGGGACTTCTATGAAGCTCCGGGGTGCCCATATATAGTCCCCTGGATCTATCGTCCTAACCCCGCCCGGCAGGTGCGACAACAGCAGGCCCTGCCGACCATCGGATCTTACATGAAGCTCTACACCTCCTTGCAGACCTCCAAGTCTCACTGGCACAGCTTGTTGGTCCAACAAAACGGAGCCGAGTGCTGAACGGCAGACTGTTGGTATGTAAAAGTACTCCCCCACCTGGGTACACGATGTCGACTTGAGTGTATAAACCAATGCAGGGACACTCATTGAAAGCGCGATATTGCAAGCTATTCCAGAGTAGGTGACCTTGTGTTTGTGCTTCAGGCTGACGTCGTTTGCCAGGTTGGCACAGCTCTGCGAGATGGATGGTGAGGGCTTGAGGGATCAGCTCATGTGCGCAACTCCGCCGCAGCAGAGACTGAATGGATTCTGTGGCTACAACCTCCAACTAGATCGACTTGCGGAAACCAAAGCATCACAGACCAGGCTCCATTCTCATCGCCCCCCAGAAGAGCTTCTGAAAAAAAGCAGCTATATAAACCGAGTAACACTGAATGCCCCGCACCAAGGGGCCTAGATGGGTTACAATGGTTTTAAGACAACTTGTCAATTAGCTTGAAGCACTGTTCCGCCCACTCTTCCAAGCAGACGCTCCACTTGGCGTTGATTGAGCATGATAACAGCGTTCCTCTAAGCATTGCGAAGCTGAGTGAAGTGAACTGTGTAGATCACATTCCACACAAGAGATGTGTTGTGTCCATTTTGTCTCATACAAGTCATACAAACATGTTTTGTTTAATATGTTGTTTCATGTTGTGTGTTCATGTTCTTTCCATTGCTTCCTATAAAAGAACAGAGGTTATTTTTGGCTTGTAGGTGGCAATGATTCGGTATAGCCTGCCTCTTCTACCGCCGAACTTCGTTCGTCTGAGGTGATGCACAAGACCCGTCAGCTGGTTCACCAGAAAGAGGGAACTCCCTTGGACGGAGCACCTCGTTTGGGCGGGTTCGGGGGAGCGAGAAACAGATGGGGAAACGGTTTGAATGGCCTGTAGCAGATTTGAGTGGCGAAAGGATGCAGAAGATTATTCAGTTATATATAGGTGTTTGACAGGTGATAGGTGTTTGTCAGCAAATCAGCTTTAAAATGAAATTACACTGTAGCGCCCAGCAAGATCTCGCGATCCTTTGCTCAACAAGCGACACACAGAGACCTGGTATTGCTTAGGGTGAACTTATTTCTCCCTATACTATGGGTGTATTCTCTTCTGATCGAGGAATATGTGTTTCGCCGGTTTCTTAAGCACATCCAGGTCTGATGAATGACGCACCGTGACGCACAAACCGATGCAGAGTCAGAGTCCAAACCAACACGATAATCGCCACAGCTTGGTGACTCGTCGGTAGCCTTCGCTCACCAGCTAAAGCGGTGGATAACAACTCAATGATTGGCAGAATATTACATACCAGGCGATGCATCGGATTCTCACCATTCTCCACAATTTTGCTGGCGTCTTGGGCCTTGGGTCAATCAAATTAAGCCACTCTTATACTTTCGAACTCCTCTGGAAGCGCTTCCCCTCTCACTGTTGCGACTCAGAAGGTCCCCACAACCCAACAGCACTTCCGGTCCTCCAGTCAACTCCTTGTGGGACCCCCCCCACGGTTTGCTCCCTCCCTCCAGTCACGCCACACACGGCAGCGGTCTCACCGTCCGGTCTCTCCGTCTCGAGGTCCTGCAGCCCTGCGGCGAAGTGGAGTTTTACCTGGACGGCGACATGGCCCGGGACACCCGGGTCAAGCGGCGGAAGCGAGCCGGAGGAGGCGATTTTTGTTGAAGCCTCTGAACACTGGAAGAATGGAGGTGTTGTTTCAAGGAATGCCTGCGGTATAGCCGTTGTATAGGTTTGAGGTAGAGTGTGTTGTGGGTATGTATGTTTTAATATTGGTGATATAGTTGAGGGTGTACATAACACTAGAGTATCAGCCCAGATCTGGCCAGGACACTCCATGTATGGCATCCATTGCCTACCTTGGGCCCTTTTCAACCACTCCACCTAATCGGTCAATGTGCCATGTAGATACGTTGTGTTTGGGTGGACATCGGGGCATTTGGTTCTCAAGTCTGGTCGAAGTGTGACAGGGCTTGGAGGTTGCAAAGACAGTCATGACAGGTGTTCCGAGAAGGACCACAGCAATGGGGTTGAAGATAGTGTGTTTGAAGAATTGGTGTAGTAAGGTGTAGTGGACATCTATGGTGTAATGCCTTGATGAAGCACATCACGTGGAGGGACGTTCAGTCTGAACTAGCCATTCCTCCCAAGGAAGAGTCTCGCAAGGAATCGAGTCTGATCTTGTGTGTCGCACAACTTCAAAAGGCAATTTCTTATCAGATGTGTCATGGTTCTATCAGTCAGTCGGGATCTGCGTCATGAACCAGTTGAACCATCCGCAAATCCTGATGTTGGAAGGGCCGGGAAGGACCCGAACGGGTGGCGTTGGAAGGACCGGGCGCCCGAACGAAAGTGCTCCAAGGTCCACATCAATGCACAGAAGCCACAGCGGCCTCATGCAGATGTCTTCTTGGAGCACATTGTGAAGTTCCAGGAGATGCGTGAACATGGGGCAGACAGTGAAGGCCAAAACTGTGAGGTACTTGGTGGTTCCTGACAGTTAGAGTGTGGTTCCAGGGTTGCTAGTCAAGGTCACAGGTGTTGGTTTGTTGCTCCCTTCAACCGACGGGTTTGTTCAAAAACGATGGCCAGGCCTGGTGGAGTAGTCAGGCAGACGGTCAAATTCAGAAGAATACAAACCATGCTTGCAAACAAGGAAACGATGCAGTGTGCAATATGCTCTATATATCAAGAAATAGCAATAATTTCACTTGAACACCATGGATATCGCTGGAAGTTGATGTTTTCCGATCATTTTCATGGCAGAAACACCCAAGTCATGTCCAGTTCATTTGCTGGACATAGACCTCTTTGATCCGGTGTTCAACGACTCGGTCGACAGACAACGATGGTGATCTGCGATCTGCTTTCCGAATGGCCTTCCCAGAAAAAAAACATGCACGATTTGCCTCTTCTCCTTACAGGATTGGGGAGGAAACCACCTCGTCGACCCAAGAGGTCTCATGGGGCGATCTCCCGAGAAACGGCCGTTGAAACTGAAACCGATGGCCTTTGAACATTGGTTCATAGAGGGGATGCCCCCCCCGTCGTGTACAACCAATAATTAAGGTATGGTTTATGGTACCGACCCGGACATCATTGGTTGAAACGGGTTCTGTCCGGGGCGGCTCTCCGTGATCTCCGTGTTTGGGAAACATCTCACCGAGCCCGTCCCCGGTGAATCCGGTCGCCCAGACAGGTCCCCATGTGGACTGCAAAATACCAGGGCCCCCGTTTCGGGATGGTTAACGGACATCCCGAATCCTCTGTTTGGAGCTATGGACATTCCTGGAGGGCCCTGGTACATGACTGGTGGTTTTGGGTGGTGAATGATCATGTTCTGCGCCACCCGTGAATCCTGTGGGTCGGAGCACGGCGGGGCTGTTCAGCAGACCCTTGGGTCGGTGGTTCAGCACGAAGTTCAGCGACGAAGCACGTGGCTATTTTGCACCTCGCGTGGAAGACCGACCGACCGTGGCTGTCGCAGGACATTCTGAAGCGTGCGGACCGCCTGCAGAAGGGCGGCGCCGCAGCATAAGGAGCGGCGGGAAAGTAAGAAGTGAAGTGAGAAGCCCCCTTTGCGAGCCGAGCAAAACGAGCAACAACCGCGAAAGGAGCGAAAGAAACCAGCAGGAAGACACATTGATGATCAATTGAAGATCATTGGGGATGCACAGAGCTGACTGTTTGGAGATGTTTCGATTTGCCACGCAAACTGTTTGCCTTGGAAGTCTTGACCAGGGGTGGAGTCTTGGGAGTAAGAACGTGTTTCTTCAAGATTGATATGTTTTTTTTAGTATGAAGGTTTGCGAGACTTCACTGCAAGAAAGACAACAACACCTCCCTTGTTGCAGCAAATTGTGCGGTTGAATACATATTAATTATAGTGTTTGCTATTTTGCAAAGCTATTTGTATACGCGTGGATCTTGTTGAATGCCAGCGAGTCGTTTCAGCTAAAGAAGCCCCACGTCGCGGGGGGTTCTTGCCGTCTTCGGGTGTCACCCAGCAAACTCGCGCGGATCGATGCGTCGCTCCACGCGCGGAGTAAACCTCGAGTCAGAAGGTTTTGGATGTGCAGCAGAGATGGAAGACATGCACATTATTCATGCCATGAAATATCATGAAATCATGCAATAATTAAATTGTATATGTATATATAAATTAGCATGAAATCAGACAACAAGAATGGACCCACGGGAGTTAGGTGGTGAATGCACACCTAGAATCACCTCTATAATGGGTCTAGTTTTTAGACACCCCTCGGTATGCCAGAGACGGGGATTCACATCGAAAAACTCTATCGTTGAGGCGTTGTTTAGCTGATCTATAGAGATTCTACACCCTGCTGCCGTCCAGTGACCGCTTTCGAGTCCCTGGGATGAAAAGGTTGGACAAAAGCTGGGCGGGGACGGAGTGCGGAACGTTTGAGTCAAAATGCTACTATAGTAGCTACTTGCTCCTAGTGGTACGGCCAGGAGCCCCTTTGCTCCGTTCGTAGCGATGCCAGGAGCCCCTAGTAGCGACTTGACCCTGAAAGAAACATGCCCAAAAGGTTCCAACAAATCAATCTTGTAATGCAGCCTGCTCCTTGACGGATATGTGGATATCAGCGCATCAACGCCTAGGTGTTAAAGCCCAATACACCGACAAACCATGGAGAAAGAGATGGAAGAAACATGACATGTCGGACATGTCGCAATAAATTTCAGGATGGATATGACTTGGCGAGTCATAATGCAGACTCTTGATGAATAGCGCCCCTCATCTGAGAGGAAAACCTCTTATCTTAATACTTGCCGAGGGACCGACCTTAAATGATCTTTAAAGTCTTTTTTTATATCGGCTTCATCAGCAATACTCCAGGTGACATCCTAGTTCGTCAGTCGATAGCCTGCAAAAACGTTTTTGGGGATTGGGGTCCCCACGACATGTCCCCACGCTGCATTTTTGCTATCCGACCAGCGTGTCTATGTTCTATAGCGAGGCCATTGCCTAATATGGCTTGACTAAATAGAACAGGTGGACAATTGTTAACCGTTATATAACCCTTCTTTTGCACGGGAAAATGGCTTGGGGGTCAGACATAGAAGAACTCACTGATGCACTGATCTACCACAAATCAATCAGAATCCCAATCTTACACGAAATGACTGTCATGGCTCCTAACCTGAGAGAGGATAATGACACTGCCATGCGGGTTTGTCTTAGAACCCCGCTGTCAGACCCCAGGAAGAAGGAACATAGACCAGTCTACCCATTGCTTGAGGCTTGGGGGTTTCCCTCATATTAAACAACACACCCATGTAGAAGCTGCCTCACGGCGGAACATTGTTCTTCTTCCACGGAGGCATCCGTCCCGTGCCCCCGTGGGTGACCCAACTTCGGGTGCCCACGGGCCTTGTTCGCCGCGTGAAACGACACGGCCTGCAACCCATATGGAAACTAAGTAGTTGAGAGGTTGTGTCCTTCACGGAGGCATACGGAGGCCACTTTTTGAGAAGACAAGCATCCTATCACTTACTCAGTCAGTCAAAAGACCATTAATAGTGCAGAAGAACCCACGAAAGAAGTCTGTCGTGATGTCTAGTGCTCCTTTCGGTTCCCTGTCGGGGGTGCTTTTCATCCTTGCCCTTGATCCTCCGAGAAAGACCCCTTTAGATCCAACCCTCTTACCATCTCTTATCTATCCCTGTGGGTCAGGAAAGAACAGTTGACCCGGTGCTTGACCCTAACACACCAGTTTGGGCGGTTTATGTTTCAGCTAGGCAGCTAGCTTATGTTTACACTTCCAAGATGTTGGATGTGTTCAAGCTTCGTTTGGTGGTGACGACTGCTGTTATATAGCTGTTGGCTCCAGAGACGGCCCCGTATCGGCCTGACACGTTGTTTCCCTCCTCGCTGAGCAGCGGAACGGGCACCAAGCAACGCGTGGCAAACCGACGGAGGGGTCCAGCTCTATGATTCTCTAGGGCTCCCTCTTTGGGGTGTCTACAAATAGATCCATAGAGGTTACACTCCCGACAACTAACATGGACCCGGGTCGGATGGCACCCGAAAGACTGTTATCCTCTGCAAAACGGTGGTTTTCAACGTCCATATGAGTTTTCAATGGGGTAAGAGCCCCGGTGTCCAGTCACCACCCAACCAAATCCTGTGGGTCCTGGTAGATGGCCAGACCTAGGCCCTTGGTTGGTAGATTGTTAAATGGAATATACCCCAAGTGTACAACGGGTATACCAAACCGACCGCTTGATTCCTCCCAAAAGGACATCATTGGGGCGACCATTTGTCAAAATACATGGACATACTATGACACATTCGATCAGTCATAAAAGGTCTCCTCAACAAGGTCGTTGGGCCCAAAGAGGCTCACGTTATGACCTGTTCGAGGGCTGGTATATTATTATTATATATTATATATATATATATATTTGATACACTTTGACTCACTGACATAGGAGTGGATGGCATGGTCCCTTGGAAGACTACTTTCCTTTACGAATAGGTGTGTGTAGTGACTCGGATTGTATACATAGTATCATCATTGTGGCAACTCGCATGGCCACCAGGTCTGGTGTTGCATTCGATCTTCTGTTGAGAGACCAAGGAGTACTCCCAGTTGATCCCAGGCTTCCACGAGTAGCACGGAACCAGGGAACTCTCGTACGTGACCGGCGAAGTCGGCGAAATGTGGCGAAGTCGTCGAACTGGAACCGGTGATGCGCTGGATCCGCTGGAACTGATATGTACATATATATATATATATATGTACTTAGACCATACGGATTCTTATTTAGGCTCGCCTCTTTTGCTTTTCCTCGGATCTATGTACTCCTGGCTGGATTTTTTTGTGGACCTCTTGCCAATTTGCTGCACCTTTCCCAAATCGGTAGCTGCATGGACGCATCCATGCAGTCACCACTCTCACCGAAAACATCCAACAGGTTTTCAGCACTGGCAAAACCGATGTACCATCCTCCCATCCATCGTCTCAATTGAACAAGGCGCACCAAAGGTCGCACCAAACCTTTGGTGCATGAAGTGGCTCTCTCCCGGTAAGACCCCCAGGTGTCATAGAAAATCGGCGGCTCGGTGGATGCGGTTGGTCAGTTGGACAAGCCCAGGCAATCATGGAGGTGGTGGTCCAGGCCGCGAGTGAAGTGCCCCAGGGCTGTTTCGTCTCCGTCCGCCTTGGAGAACATCTCAAGCAGTGCCTTGGAGAGGCATTTTTTTGGAGGAAACCGCGAAAGATGGGCGGCTTGAAGGGAAAGACGTGTCACAGGTGAGAACTACCATGTATAGCTGCTTCTGCCAGACCTCCACCAGATCCGTACGATTGGGGAGCCCGTGAGGAGGTTCGCCATGTAAGATATGATCCCAAATACTCTCTCGATCAGAAGGTATATACCAGGGCCCCCTAAGGGGTGGTGAATAGACACCCATTAACCTCAAAGGAGCTATTGTTGGTAGGGAATGGTTTGTTAATTATAGTTGTGGCTATTGAACCCTCCACTCACTTGACAGACACTTCTTTCCAAGCGTCGACGGACGATACACCACGACCCTGCCCCAGGTCATAGGATCCACGTCCAGCCCGTCCTATGGCTGCAGCCCAGAAAGTCATCGATCCGATGCATGAAGGAAAGCACATCACGAACATGTCTACGGGGTCATCACGGGGTCTACGGGGTCGGCTGGCCCCTAGGCGGCGCTTCAATAAGAACACGGCCACCTACTACTTCCCAGCGGTTGAGGAGAGATGTGGATGTGGCTTGGGACCGATGGTCAGGTGATTTGAGGAATTGGATAGGGCGCCTCGTACAAGGAAGGCTTCAAGAGATACATTGCATACACCTAGGATGTGGCCCACTAAACTAGAAACAGTCGGTAAAAGAGTAACACAATTTCTTGAGAAAGGCCTGCAACCTAACCATCATCATCCACCATCCTGGTTTTGCTCAAGGTGATTAGTTATTTTGCTGTCGGTAAATATGGGTGAATCATAGTTTTTACGGTTTCTATTTCTTACCGGTTCCGCAAATGCGAGCTGTTAGCTTAATGGGATATATGGATATATTATGGTATATTGATGTATATTGTGGTATACTATATATATACACGGTATTGACCAAAGCGCAGCCTCAGACCTGAGGGTATAGATGGGTCCGAGGTGTTGCATGTTGTGTCTTTCAACACAGGTCTCCGTTCTCTCGGACTGCGAGTTCTCGGGCGGCCAGCGGTTGGTGTTTTCTGGAACAGTTGGGAACCAACCAACGTGTTTCCACAGCCGGTTGGGCTTTGCAGCGGACCATAGCCAGACCCGTGAGTCTCAAACGACGACGGGAGTCTCAATCTGGATCGGTTTCGTGACCTTCGATCGTCCCGTCGCGTCCAACAAGATCAAATCCATTGGAACCCGCTTGTACCAATTCCGTTGGAAAACAGATACTGGAGACCGGGACCATTGGACATCGCCTGGGATTCTTCGAATGGACAGGTACTATACCGGATAGCTGACCTTATATGGTAGAAGCCAGATGCCTGACAGGGATTCTTTTCGAGCAGAACTCCTCGATGGTGCCCAGGTGGCGTGGCGTACCAAGAAATGCTGCACCACCTGGTATACACTCCCAAAAACTAACATATAGATATATTAGACCCTGACAATGGTCCCATGGAAGACTATTTTCCTCTACCAACCAGGGGTTTTCAAGTTCCATGTTAGTCTTCCAGGGTGTAGAGAAAACGGTAGCATTTACAGTTGCGGCATCATAGGTTGTGCGAGATGTCTTCCATCGACTATGATATACTCCAATGGTCTCTCATGACTATAGCTTTTTTCTTACGTGGAAGAACACTGGTACTGCTGTACCTCAAGTGTGTTTGTGATTCGTGGTACATAGGCATAGCCATACCTGAAAACAGTTGGACAGATGTTGTTCCTTTGCTGGTGCGTTCGTAGGGTGCTGCAATACAGTTTATTAATTGGGGGGCCGGGGATAGTCACCCCATCAGGAACTTACTTTTGCCGGCGTTGTCTATACTTGTAGAATCCACGTGTAGTCGTCCTCATGCAGATAGCACATCGTAATCAACTGCCGAAAACAATTATTTTCGGGTTGAGTATCATTTATGTTTACCAAATGTGAGAGGTGTTCGCTATGGAAGTCTGTCCACTTCAGCATGACTACCGCTCTTTTTGTTGTTGCTCTTCACCTGCTTTTCCTCTCCAACGACAATGATCCTGCAGGACAAGGGCAAGGCCCGTGTCGATGTCTACCAGTTGGTTGGGACCTGCTCAATCCCTATCGATCCAGAAACTTGGCAAGATTCGGCAAGCAAGCAGGGTGGGGATAGCTTTTGCCCGTATGTTCTTATGCATAGCTTTTTGGGTGAGCACGATGTCCGGTGAGAGAGACTTGAGAGAGACGCTTGGTAACTTGACCGATGTTTCTTGCTGCACTAAAAGCACCATGATGAGCTGGTGAGTGAAGGGCAAGCCGAGATCCTGGACCTGGACAGACCAGTTCGGACAAGGGAAATCCTGACGGCTTCAGCTCAGGCAGTGGCCGAAACCAAGGAGGCGAGGATGGGGGGGCCTTCATGGGTTGAGCGAAGCGCCAAGCAAGGTCATCAAAGAACGTCTTGAGTGCTCCATCAAAAAACCCTGCAGCTGCCATGTTGGGAGGACAGGGCTGCAATCAAAAGGCAGACAGAAGTACAGGCTCCACACAGGAACCAAACGGTTCGACTCAGAAGGGTTGTGCTTTTCTTCGTTCGCCAGTACTGGCTGTTGTTGTTCCCAAAGTTCCCATGATTATTACTCAGCAAACGGACGAGTCCAGCTGAAAGGTGGTGCAACGATCCAGTGCTATGCTCCTGTTTTTGTGTTCTGCACCATGTATTCAGATCTTTGAACGTGCACAGATGTCTGACGCGCCGCGTTTCGTGCTTTCGCTCCCATCCGAGTCTTAGAGGGGCAGGCACACCTGCCGTCGCGACGGCAGCACCCCCCTTACACGCCTGGACAGGTTCTACTGATCCGTCGGACAGGTACTGATGACCTGGTACTACGTGGTTCGGTCTCAGTGGGACTGCATGGATGGGACCGTCAACTGTTTGACAGAAGTAAGCGCACCGGTACTGTAAGAGTCCAAAGGTCATCTCTGCACTAGTGGACCACTTCTAGTGTTGCCCCACAGTATAGAGTCCACTTGCACAATATGGATTTTTGATGGACCCTCAAACCAACAATGAGACTCTCTGTCCTTATCCTTTTCCCAAGCATCTTTGAGGGTCTCCCTTTCCAATACACACCTATACAGTATAACTATATATATATACACATATATATATGCATATACAGTACATTGCCTTTTGGACATTCTTCATCTTCTAACCCATCCAGACCACACCAGGTGAGTGTGATTGGCTCTGACCCGGACTCCGAAGTGCTCAAGCTCCGGGTGCGGCACCTGGCGACAGCGGACGAGCGACAGCGGTGACGACGCTCCATGGAGCGAGTGGAACGACCGGGGGTGACTTAACATGGAAAACCTGGAGGGGTTTTCTCTCATGTAGGTCATGGATGGTACGACAGGGGGTTTTCTCATGACTCCCTAGGACTTGGACGTGGTCTGTACTAATTACATTCACTCTGCCTATCTCTGGGCGGGAAACGGGAGCGCCTCATGCTATGCGCTGAAGCTGTGCCATTTGAACGTCTGAAGAAGGGACACTGAAAGACTCAGACGTTCGTGAGCAGGCCAGAGGCGGATCACCGAGTACCTTCAGGTGGCTCTTCGCATCGTCCTCATGGCGGGGACCGAAGGCAGCTGAGGGATGCCTGCCAATCACTCCCTAAAGGAGTGAGGCAAGTATTTGGGGATCCAGGCGATCATACAAGCACAGGCGACACAGCGTCGCTGGATTCTGCGGTTCCAGGCAGTTCTTGTCAAGCCCTGCCGACACTTCTTTAAGCCACTGCGATTCGTCAGGCGCCCTTGAAGCTCACTCAACTGTCCAACCATCCGCTTATACTCTCTGGCCCAGACCGGAGTTGCACTCAGCAAGGGCAGCAAAGCTGTTTGCGCAGGCCTCCTTGCTCAGTGCATCAACAGAATACAGACCGGTGAACGGATTTGGCAGATAGCACAGCTCTTTCCAGCCTGATCGTGCTCCTGCGATCGATGATATCGATGCCGTGGTGGCTGCCGTGGGTGGCTTCGGCCAAGCGAGCTCAGGGTGTCGTCCGACATTTTTGGCAGGATTTGATGCATTCGACCAGCGGTGAAGGATCATAGAGCAGCCAAGTCTAGACTGACCCAAAAGGGCTGGCTGGCGTTGGAACGTAGAAGTGGGGATTGGGACGCACAAAGAAGCTCTCGAAGTGTGGTGATTCGAACACATTCAAGGTGAGAGAGCTTGACCATCTTGACAGGTCGGTCTGGGGGAGGGCCGGGATTGGCTCAAACTTGCGCTTTGTTGTGTGAATCCATCACGGTCCCACAGGCCCACGAACACCGAAACCCGAGTGACAAGTAGACGGCCCCCCCCCCGTTCCTTTCGTAACGGAAGGTATAGGAAATCTTAGGAAGGTAATTGTCCTAAACACAGAACTACGATTTCTGTGTTCTTGAGAGTGTATGCAAGGGATCTACAATGGGTCCCAGACTCTCCGTGTATGGAAGATGTCCCTACATTGAGGTGGTATCAGGGGTCAACGTAGGAAAATATTCTACATGGAGGGTCTGGAAAGGCGGTTTGATTTCGGGGTGGTTCATCGTTGTAAGATGTTTTCTGGGTGAAACGGGTGCCTAGGTTCCCAGGTGAACATGCTGTATGAACGTGTTCTGGTGGCGAGATGATGTGAGATGATCTTCCAAAGATAAATGGTTATGCGCGGATATGCGTGGTCTTGTCCAATAACAAAGCGTAGACCAGAAATCCTCGTTCAGGTTCTGATTGGTCGTGCAGTTGGTACAGAATTCAATAAACCTGGATTCATCAACACTGGACCTTGCATTGTTTGTTTTTGGATGGTATACTCCCCAAAACAAGCATGAAAGTGGATTGCATGGACCATTGGATGCCCATCTCCCGAATACCAAACAGCTGGCGAAGTCCACTTCCGATTCCAGGAAGTGTACACCCTGGAAGATTCACATGGAACCTGAAAACCACGTCGGGTTGTAGAGGAACATCGTCCTCCAAAGGCCCATTCCCAGGTTCCATGTCAATCTTCCAGGGTGGTGTAGCCTTTATCCCTGCTTCTTGGACCCTTGTGGGGGGTCGTCACAGTGTTCACTGGGCACCGGCTCACTCTCGCCACGTGGCTCAGGTGAGCACGGCCAATAAGGAGATCAAGGCAGAGGACACCCAGCGGCAGCGTCAGGAGATTGAAACTGAGACCAAGGCCACCGGGGTGATGGCGCGGCTTCTTTCATGTGGCTTTCGACGAGAACCCGAGGCGACGACCTGTGTTACGGACTGGAAGTCCATGGCCACATTGACCACCCCCCCAAAAAAAACAGCCATACATGACAGTAATGGCCGTTTTTTTATTTATGTCGGGCTGCTTCTCAAAAATATGCCAGAATGTACTTGATTAGAACTTATGCCATATAATGGCCGCGTTCCTAGCGTTTTTGGAAGCAGCCCGACATGTCATGTGTTTGGTGTCTCTCTGGGTCGGCTGGCGCCATTCCGGGCTCGGACCCGTTCGCGGTGCTGTTGGACCGAAGCATGTAGCAGTTGGTTCGAGTGCATGGTCGCGTTTGGCTAATCTATTATATGGGAGTTATCCAAAAGGTCCTTGTAAGGGTTTTTAATGTCGAGAGCCTTGGATGACATGAAGACACTTCAAACGTTTGAAATCCGGCCGTGGGCCAACCTGAGGAGGTGTGGGTAGAGATTAGAAGTGCTACCTCAAATCCACTTCAACACCGTGCAGGTTCTCAAAATAAAGAACCTTTGGGACGATGGGAGCTAAATGAACAACCATGAGTTGAGGGATCAGTTGTACCATGTTGTACCATGTTTTACATGTCATGTCCTTCAATACTTCAACAAAGCTGCCTGACCACTCCTACGACAGGCATGAAACCGTGTAGGACCTTGGACGTGTTGATGCAGGAACAAACAAGCATCCCACTATTGACCCTTGACCTTTGCTAGGATGCTGCCGTCGGGTACTTGGCGAAACACGGCATCGAGCAGAAGCTGTCCGAGTGTTTGCGGACGATGCTCAGGCACAGCGCAGCTGGGTCAGGGGTTTTCCACGATGGGCTCCACATGGCTCCCGCCTCAGAATGGTAGGGACTGACTGACCCCCCCAAATAAACAAACACCAGTCCCACTGAACAGAAACGCAGGCACTTACCAACACGCAGGATGGTTATTGGATACCCAAACGCTCCAAACAGGCCTTGGTTCCTCAAGTCCATAATATGAGGGTCCGGCTCCCACTTAGGAGGGTCCATGAGCTTCTGGACCAACAAAATAACATATGGGATTTGGGCTGAGTCCTATGAAGCACCCCTCGGTTGGGGGGTGGTACAAGGACCGGTTGGCATCTTCGGCCAGGATGAAGCCTGAGGAACCCATCGATTTTATGTGCAAGTTCTTGCGACTGGGCACAACGCTGGTGCAAGTTCAGAGCTTCGCTCGTCGCACATCGCCGTGGTGACCGCAGTGCTCAGACAACTAGCTGGTGTTTAGCTGGTCGAACCAGGGAGCTACGGTCGAACCAAGGAGCTACAGGGAGCTCTCTGACCGGCTAGGCAACTCTAAGATACTCTAAGGAAAGGTAAGGAGTTTGTGAGTGAAAGTCGAAGTTTGGCCTCTTCAGAAAGAGGTCGTGACGTGACCCATGACCTTTTTTTCTAGACTATTCATTCTTCTACAATCAATTAGACATCAGAATTCATCAAGTCATTTGAGTCCCTAAAAGTAAGCTTGTTGGCTTTCCAACCCCAGCTTCGTTGTGACAGTTGGTCCGCCCAAACGCTGTAGGATGCTGTAGGAGATGTCCAACCTGCGCAATTGATGGCGGCATGCATCGGCACGCATACCTGGAACTTCCTCAGATCACTGTGTGTGTTTGATCTGTGGCAAAAAACACAACATATCAACAAAAATTGGGAGCCACAGCCTTATGTTTGAGTTTGCGGATGTTTCTCTATAGTGTTCTCTTGTTTATTTGTATTTTTGAAATATATTTCACGAGCGTTTATACACAATCTACGGGCGTAAGTTTATTGGTGAGTCACGGGTGTTTTTTTCCCCCGAACTTTTCTTTTTTTTGTTTTTCTTCGGTGAACTACTGACCCACAAAAAGCCGAGCTCGAGCTCGGTGGCAGGTATGGCATACCTTTATGGGTGTCTTTTTACTGGTTAATGTAGGTCATAAATATAGTCCCTAGGGCTCCAAGTACCTCCTCAGAAGGTATTTGGACCCTCTAAACCCACCCCAAACACCTTCTTAGAAAGTACTTGGAGCCCTAGGGACGGATCGTCCGTGGCTGAGGACGGGTGGCAAGTTCGTGCCCGAGGCCGGCTGGTGGCGGGGCGGGGAGGGGCGGTGCTGAGCCAGAGGAGAGACGATGGTTTCCTAGATTGAATTCTTTTGACCAGGTGAACGGGGTGTTTGTAGTCAGACGTCACCATCAGAACATGTGTGCACGGGTGGGAGGGTTAGCAAGTCCTGAAGATATCTGTAACAAGGCTTTAAATGGAATGATTGCGTGAGTTTTAAAGGGCCCGAGCCGGGGGAATTTGCGTCTACATTTGGAGGACCACCATGGACCCTTGTATGGCAGGAAAGCATCCGATGCATTTGGTTGGTTGGATGAACTAAGGCAGGCAACCAACTTGATGTTGTCAATCAAAAGGACTGGATAGCTCGTGTGTAGTTCAGTATGCAGCCACACCCCTTGGACTGTTCATGGAATGGAACAAAAGCGTTGCGTTGCACTGCAAACACAAAGCTCAAAAAATATATCTCTTGAGGTTGAAAAAAAACGCTTTACCTCACGAGGCCTACCTTTATAAGAAATCTCAAGCTTTTGGTACATTTGGTGATTTGTGGTGTTGAGCCGTACATGGCCATACCGAGACGAACTGTTGACTGGGAACCGGACACAGGAGTTCTAAGGGTGGTTGGTGGTTGATGTTCTTGCCCTAAGTTGGGTGAATGTGCATGCTTGGCCTCCAATCCCTAGGGATCCAGCCGTACCTTTTTGAGAAGGTACGACTGGATCCCTAGGGAAAGGAACCACACCTGGACCGCGGTCCTATTGTTGCTTCGGGCTTCCTCAAGCATCGCGTGGCAGGAGAGTTCGTCTCCAGTGCAGCAAGGCAAACCTGAGGCTGGCGGCGGGCAGTATTCTTCATGACTTGACACATCCAAGAACCAAGAAGCCAAAGAAGGACATTGAAATCCCAAGAAAAGCAGACTTCCAACTGAAATCATTCAGCAGGCAAGCCTCCAGTGGTTACGTGGATTTCGTGCGGCGACTTTCGCCTGGTAGTGGAAGGTTTATTCCAGATTGTTATTCAGGAATTTCACCAAAGAAAGGACCTGAAACGCTTCATCACTTGGTGTTCCTACAAGGGCTCAGCATACCTTGTAAACAAAAAAAGCAAACAAGCAAAAACATCATCTCCACCAGCACCTGTGCATCCCTCACGGCGCCAGGCGCCTCCTGCGCCCACTGCGCCGCCCGCCGAGACAGCGCCGCCGACGCCGGCGGCTGGACCGCCGGAGGCTGGGCGGACGGTGGAGCAAATAAAGGGAGGGTGTTTGCTTCGGGTCCGTTTTCCCCCTGCGAACTGGAGTTCTTAGGGTTGGATGAATTGCACGCAATGCGTGGCCTCACTACTGAAGGAGTTGTCCAGGAGCAGGTGACCATTGTGTCACGTTGCGCGAGGACTGGAAGGGTCTTTTTTCGCCTCTCATGTTTCCCCGCTGTGTATGAAAATACACACCAGTGCAATGGAAACAAGATGACAAAAACAAGGTGGGGTTCAAGTGTCAAGCTGAGCAACCAAAACAACTCCTCCAAGGAGCTGTCTGTTCAGTCCCTGTTTTTAGGGCTCGCAGTCAATGGCCCACAGCCACCGGACTGGTGGCTGTCGCAACATCGGTCGTCAGCCACGCCATCGACTTTGACCAGCATTTGTCGTCCACCATCGTGGAGAACAGCTCGTGGACAAAGGATATTCAACTGAAGAACGGCTTAGTCACTCATCTGAGGGTTTCATAAATGGGGAGATCCCCAAGTCATCCATTGAATGGGTTGTTGAATCATAAACCCTCCGTTTTGGGGCGCCCCCATTGATGGAAACCTTCAGACAAGGAGAAAGCACGACTCGTGGAGCCACGGTGTCGTCATGGCGGCAACAGCAGTGGTCCCACAGGTGGCATGAAGGTCATTCAAGGTGGAGTTCATTCGCTTGAAGGTGTACCAAACAACCTTTACCGTTCCAGTTGGACCAGTTACGATGGCCACGGGCCCCGTTGCGGTTCTGCCTGGGGATCCACTGCAGACTGGAGCCGAGTTCGGATGGCCGGCGAGGCAGGTCCACATTGTATATGGATGGTGAAGACCCTAACATGATGAGCATCGCGGCATCCCCGCGAGAGGAACATTGCAAGCCTAAGGATCCACATGGATCCACAAAGCAATACTAGCAATTGAGAAGAGAGATGACTGACAGGACGTGTCACCTTCCTTTGTATCGGTCAGTCTGTGGTTTGGACGTCTGTTGTTCACCGGGCTGTAGTTCACCCCCTGGATCCTGGTTTTGCTTGGGGTTACTGTTTGTCATTAATATTTAAACTCCCTTGCTTACCTCGCTGGCGAAGAGTTCTGTATTTTTTCCACCTCAACACCCCAAAAAGAGTAAATCCATTGTAAATCCCCTTACTGTACCTGGGAAATGTTTTTTTAATATTTTTCTGGGCTTCCACACCGAAGGAGGATCCACTGGGCCATATGTCACCGACTCCGCGCCGCCGCGACCGGCAGGCGGCCCAGCCGGACGCCCGGGCCGCGCTGATGAAGTCCGTGCGCGCTGGGGATCTGATTGGTGCCGTGGAAGAGGAGGCGCAGCTCAGATCTCACCAGGTGTTTTTTTTGGGGGGGGCTGGGTGCTTTTTTATGCTCCAGGTTTTTTTGCCCTATGCGGAGATATGGGCAGGGGTGCTTTCAGATCAAAGGGTCCCCAGGGTGCTCTTTTCTATGCTCTAGTAGCTTTTTCCGATGCTGCTGGTGTTTTTTTTTCGTAGGCTTGTAGTGTTTATTCCTATACTGAGAGTTCTTCCTTGTATGCGCATGGTTGCTTTCCTTATGCAGACGGTTCCTTTTTGTATGCTGGGAGGTGTCGGCCGACGAAGGACACTTCACGCTGTGCAAAACGCACCGAGGGTCTTTGTCAACTTCAAATTCGACATCATGATTGGCAGTGCAGGTGCAGGTTCCATTCTCGACGCCATTGAGGGCCAAGCCGCTGCTGATAAAGCCTCGAATTCCGCTGCTCTGCAGGCTTCTCGCCGTGCATTCGAGGCAATGCTCGTCGCCGGCCCGTTGACCCAGGCGCATCCGTCATCTGACTCCTCTGAAGCAGGAGAGATTCTCAGGGAACTAGGCGCTGAGTGTGCCGGCACCTCAGTGCACGTCCCGGTCTGCATCGTTGAAGCTGAGGCACACCTTGCTGCACATGACACACTGGACGGCCGTGCGACCACTGGGGAGTGTGTCTCGGCCACTTCAAGGGTGTTTGCATGAGCAGAAATGGCCTCGACGCTCGGTCTTTTGGGATCCTGATGACTGCTGGTGTCAACGCTCAGCAAATCCAAGAGGGGCGTGCCAAGAGGGAGGCTGAGCATCTTGGACTCACATGCCGTGGCCTTTCGGTCGTGGACCACCTGCTCTACTCGAGCAATGAGATCCAGCTCACGGTCGCGCCAATTGCGCCAAAATTCAATCCGCTGATGAGCGAGGAGGACTTCAGCGATGATCATGACAAGAAGGTGGCCCGGGATCCTCTGGCGATGGCGCCGGTCGCCTTGGCGCTTCGGTCGAACAGGACCGATAACATTCTGTCGTCCTTGCATTCTTTGGGCAAAAGTGTGACTGATTTCCACCGGCAGGTCTCGGAAGTCCTGCCGGGCCGATATCATGTTCAAACCCTCGGCCTCTCCGCTGATGAGAGCTTTCTGGCTGGCTACGTCCTCAATCGAGGCGGGACGGTGGCAGAGCTCATCTTGGACTTGGGGAAGCAAGTCTCTTCGGGGCACGGCGCGATTGACAATTCGCGCATTTTACAGAAACTCCCTGCGACGGTTGCTGTGGTGAACGTTGCAGCCGCCGGTGCCTTCACTGCTGAGAGCGCTCTCCAGTTCATTCCAGACCTCAAGACCCACACCCTGATCTCAAGCTCGGTGACGACGGTCAGGGAGGCTGAAAGACAGTTGAAGATGACATCTGCGTCATACACCGGCTTCTGTGGGTTCCTTGGTGGGGTTCCCCTCTCGTCTGAGGCCTTTTCAAGGAGGGGCGTGCCGACGCACTCGCCATTTGCCTCAGCGCGATGTTGACCACGCGCGACACCTTTTTGGTGCGCTGGCGCAGCTCGCCATCGGCCCGGGCCTTTGTCCAGCAAAATGCACACAAGACTAATTTGGGGGCTGTCGTAGCTGGCAAAACACATTGGAATAGTGCAGGTGTCTGAGAAATGCCTACCTCGTGGTGCAGTTGGCAGAGAAACAGCAAAGAGAAAGAGAACTAGCGCCGGAGGCATATTTGGTTGGTTAGAAGCTTTTGCCCCGGGGAGTTCACTTTGACATATTGATTTCGTGGCAGGCGCGGGTGTCGGAGATGAAGTGCAGATTTCGTGGCGCGGGGGGGGGGGTCGGCTGGCTGGCTTGCTTGCTTGTTTGGTTTCTACTTTGCCATCCATCACGGCTCTTTCTCTGCTATGCTTCCCGCATAACTGACTTTGTGAAATGTCGACCACGCTGCAGCCAATTTGAAACCAGCACAGTTCCAATGGATGTTGCCAGCTACGGCAACTGTTTCTCTGCTAACTGCACCAAACTGCTGTGATAGGTAGGAAGACAAAAAGCAAATAGATCGACAAAGCAACAAATGGAAAAGCAAAGAGCAGAAAGACAAAAACCAAAAACACATAAACGCAACAAAAGCTAAAAAGCAGCAGAAGCAGAAAAGCAGAAAAGCAGCAAAAGCAGAATCCGAAAAACAAAACACCAAAAAAGTTAAAACATTCACCAAAAAAAACATCCCTCAATTTTCTACTCATTCCTGTTTGACGGGCGCCTTCCACACAAATCAGCTAGCAATTAATATATGAAACCTGCACTATTCCAATGTATTTTGCCAGCTACGACACCTGTGTCTCTGCTAAGGACACGAAATTGCTGTAATTAGCTAGGTACTAATAAGACACTTGCTCTGTTTTTGAAAAAAATCTAGAAAATGAAAAACAACCAATTAAATGCGCGCCTGTAGAAAATCGTCTTTTGCCGACAGTTCTTTCCTTTATGCCGAGGGTTGTTTTTAGTCATACAGAACCTTCTGCAAGGGCACCCGTCGAACAGAATCCGTGGCCACAGGGGCCCGTGAAACAGAATCGCCCCCGTCAATCAGGTTCAACCCGTCCGACAACTCGTCCGACAGAATCTCTTTAAAAGGATCCCCTCAAACGGACTCCTTGTGAAAGGCATCTGCAAACAGAAGCACCTTGTCTGCAGCACCCTGTCAAAATGCTTCTGTTTGACAGAGGGGGTTCTATTTAAGTTCACATTTTTTAACTGCAAGTGGTTTCGATTCTAATGCGCTAGCTTTTTCAGCGATAGGGAAGCTATGGTGTTCTTACTTCAAATAACAATGAGTTGCCCGCGCGCGCTTTCGAGACAGGTTGCTCGCGCTGGGTGCCGGCGCTGGCGCTGGTGCTGTGAGCTGGCTGTGCACGTGGTGGAGACAGGTTGCTGGTGCTGGGTGCCGGGTGCCGGTGCTGGTGCTGGTGCTGTGAGCTGGCTGTGCACGTGATGGAGACAGGTTTCTGGTGCTGGTGCTGGGTGCCGGTGCTGCACAGTGGTTCGTCAGACCTGCCGCCGGCAACGCGAACGCTTGCGGAATCACCTGGGCTGCGGCGCCTGATGGCGTGACTGCTTAACACGGCGAGGCTCCAAGCAGCAGTCTCAGCGTATTCTTCTGGGTACGTTCCTGTCGACACTTCGGTGTTCAACAACGCAGTAGCCATTTTCGATGTGGCTGCGTGGATGGCGAACGATACAGGCAGCCTGGATGTTGCACCAGCGTTCCGGCTCATCACGACCTCAAAGCCAGACGCCACACGCATGGGGTAGCAGCTCCGTGCCTATGGGATCACTACTGCAGGGCCAGGCGAGACGTTTGCGAACCTCGTGGTTGCCGGGTCACAAACCGCTCAGTCGACTCTGCATGACGACAGGTTCAGGTTGGTTTCGCTGCTGGAGCTGTCTGATGCCACTGGCTCTTATAACCTCGCCAGCGCGACGGGAAGAGTGTTTGATCGTGGCGGCAGCGGTGATCTCGACGTTGCTCAACGGTCACAAGATCGACCTCCTGGGAGCGTACTCGAAAGCACTCCGCGCGCCCATCGGGCCGGGACAACTATACCGTGGTCTTTCTGCTGAGGAGCAAGCCGGGGCGGTCAACATCTTCAAGACTCGTGGCATCCATCTGCCAATGCCAGCCCTTCAAGCTTGGGAGCTTGCTTCCCGCACGCCGGCGTTTGATGTTGTGATACAAATGACACGAGCTTGCGGACAAATGACGGCACTGTCCATAGTAAAAGGGAAGCACTCAGTTGTGGACCAGTCGGGGAGGCTCTCAACGCCCTTCGCAGCGCTTTTCTCGATAATGACACCGACAGCAGTCGCCGAGACGTTGCGTTCCCAGACGAACAGTGATGAGGTGAATGCTCTCATCGACCAAATGCAAGCGTCGATCGAGGCAGGAGCCACGCCAGCAGAGCTGATGGACGGTCTGGCGGCGGCCGACGGGATGGCTTGGAGCACGGTCACAGGGGCCATCAGGGCGAATGTGAAAAGCGCTCAGGGAAACATGGCGTGTGGCGAATCAGGCGGCTCGTGATGCGCTGGTTGCCAGCGGAAGGTCGTTGGCAGGTGACCTTTGGCAAGCTGTCCATTCGAACGGCTCGTGGAACGACCTGGCAGTCTTCGTTCCGGTGACGGCAACGCTGTCGTCGTACAGTTGCCAGCCGGTCGTCTTGGAGTTAGCAGGTGGGCATTTGTCAGGGCTTTTCTCTGGCTGTGCGCGTGGTGGAGACTGGGCGCCGGTGCTGGGCGCAGGCTGTGCGCGTGGTGGAGAGGTGCTGCTGCTGCTGGGTATACCGGCGCTGGGTGCTGGGCGCCGCGAGCTGGCGCGCCGGTGCTCGGTGCTGGTGCCCGCTTCTGACAGTGAAGTGATAACGACCGCCGCTTCTGACAGTGAAGGGTAACAAACCGCCGTTTGCAGCAGTGAAGGGCGACCAAGCGCCGTCATGAAGTGCCAGCGCCAGCAGTCATGGGCCGCATGCATGAATTTATGCACGCAACATCATACGGTGTTGTCGCTTGAGCGTTCTTTGTCTATTAGTGCTGTGGGGTATTTACACTCTTCAGGTTCTGTTTTGGCCGACAGCTGTGTCAAGGGCTGTACTGTTTGCGCGCGTGCTTCTGTACGTATAATGTTCTATGCTCAACGTCAGGCTACCATTAATTGTTTCAGCATGTTTCAGCATGCTACACACACAATAGTCGCGCTGGATACTGCTTGGCCTTGGGCGAGTGAAGCCTACGGGCTTTGCCGTTTGTGCGCATAATTTTGCGCGCATACGCGCAAGATTGCCGCAAGATCATGCGGCCTTATCGTTCTGCAGATCGTTGCTTCAAGCATGCTACAAAGTCAACAGTGGCGCTGGATACTGCGTGGCCTTGGGACAATGACACTTACGGGCTTTACATACTTTTGCGCGCATAAACTTACACGCGCAAGATCATACGTTGTTATTCTTAAATAGGGATAGCTATGGGGTTCTTGCTGCAAATGAGAATGAAGCTGGCTGCGCACGCTTTCGAAAGGGTGTCGGTGCTGGTATTGTGGTCCTGGGCCCGTACTGTGAGCTGCCTGAGCCCGCGTTTAAGACGGGCGGCGGCGCGGCGCTGGTCGGGTGCTGATGCCGCTGCCGGTGTTGTCAGCTGGCAAAGCGCACCGGTGCTGCTGTCAGCTGATTGTGCGTGCTGTGGAGGTGCCGTAAGCTGGCTGTGCAGGCTGCGTACATTCTTTTTCCAGCCAGTCGCATGTCAACAGGTCGTGGGGTTCTGCGTAGTTATCTGGGTCTATGCTGGTGTAATTTTGTGCGGCAGCCTTTTGCCATCCTTCCGGTCACTTACTTTCTTGTGCTGTTGAATGCTCTTGTACTGACCCTTTCAGAAACAGTCCTTTTTGCCATCCACGCCCTTCCCGTCCCGCCACTAGGCCGGAGACCACTCGGTTGGAGGTGTTTGTCCTTTGCTTTTGTTTCCTGTGGTCTTTTTTCGTGGTAAGCGGGTGTTAGGTAACAATGCAGGACTTCCCTATTTCCATGATGAACCCGTTTGATTTTGGCGCCACGCATAAGGGGAGAAACTGTGCGCATACGAAACGAGAGTGGCCGCAAACGAAAAAGAGCCTGCCGCATTTGAGAAGGAACCTGACGCATAAAAAGAACACCACCCATCCTGCAGCATAAAAAGAATTGTGAGCATAAAGAAAAAACTATTACAGTACCTTTTTTTTGTGTGTGTGTGCTGTTTGTTCTCTTTTGCAAAGGGATATGGCTACGGAATGTTGGATGGACGGAAGTTGAGAAGATGACGGAATGTCGAATATCCATGAATGTCCTATGATATATAATATAATATATATACATATTGATTGCTTTAACACATTATAAGGTATATATAGAGAGTCATAGTAATAAAATATTAGCAATAATCTCAGTGCACTGACTAGAGTTTGAGGTGTTGGTAGTTGGTATAGCGGGGTGTTCATGGGAACTTGCGGTTTTGAATAGAACTTGGAAAAGTGATAACGGTAACGCGGACGAGGTGGCAAAAACATGCGAATTCAAGCCTCGGGGTTGACTTATGCGCTTTGAGAATGGGAAGCTATGGGAAGTATAGAACAGGCCATGACGGAATCCATAAGGCTCGACCTAGTACCAGTATCGGGAAAGACTCGTGTTTGTAGCGGTGAAATATGCTTATCTGGTGTCTCGGAGGGTCTTGGGGATCCCTGATACTGGGGAAAAAACAACGAACATCCCAGTCTTTGCTGAAGATCCACTTGTGCCGGTGGCGAAGTCATGGGTGGAGCCTTTGGTGTCTCATCCTCGAAGGTACCAGATCCAAGGTTGCTGGATCCATGATTTGAATTGTGATAGCCCACGGAGATGGCAAGCCTATTGCTGTGTTTTTTAGTCCTAACAGACGTACTTGCAGGGAACTGTAACAAAACACTGATTCCCTATGATTCCCTGCAGGCAGCTATTTTTTCAAATACTTGGAGGATTGACCTGTTGCGAACTGCAGAAAAAGATTGGGTCTTAAGACGCCCACACAAAGGCGAAGTAGAAGTACCTAGATCCTCGCAAGTGCTATAGCTCAAGTCGATTGTTTTGCTGCTCGAGTTCATTGTTGGTCCAAGCGCCTGTGGTGTGAGCATCGTTTCATGGAAGCTTGAGCCGTTTGATGGGATTAGGATGCATTTGGCGTTCTTCTGGTAGATAGAAGAGTGACCAAATTTGTGTGTTTTTTTAATTTTTGGGGTTGCCTGCAGTTTGTCAATGCCCCATAAACGACGCTGCAACCAAACCAACTGCTACATGTGGTTAAAACCCGGTCCATTTCACCCGGACCGCTCTTTGAGGGTCTAGAGTAACCCATCGCTGAGATTCACATGGAACTTGAGAATCGACCTTTGGAAGATGATTTTCCTTTACAACCCATTGACCCATTGACCCGTCCATGTGGTCCTTTGCAGAGTAGACTCTGAGCTGCTGGGTACCGGAGCCCAACGCCGGTCACTCGTGACGTCACACGAATGACCGGCACGTGTTTTTTTCTTTGCCAATGGTGAGGGAGTGGATCGGATGATGGTCCTGCCCCCTGAAATTCCTGGCCCCCCCATGGTTTTGATGGTCTTTGCTAAAGGACCATTACTTTGCTAAGGGTTTTAGCTTGTTTTAGACTAATTACCAGAACAGGTGAACCACTATCGAAGGCTAGGGCTTTGCTTGCAATGCGCCAACTGCGCCAGGACAAGCTCAACGTGCCTTTTGCTCTCAGGCGCCGCGTTTTCGCTCACGCGGGGCCCGGGCCCTGCGCAAGCGCTCTGGGAAAGTGGAGCTGCAAGGATGCAGCCCTTGCCAGCAACGGTGCCTTGAAAGATGTCAACGCAAACCATGGAGTCACGCCCAGAACATCCAGGATGGGGACCAAACGGCCCCCACCCAACTCCACCCCTGGTATGCACTCAACAATGATTTGGTGCGACCATTCATGAATTTCCAAGTACATGTACCAGAGATGTTGTGTGCTTTGGCTAGGCAAATCAGAACACCACAACTGAAAGGCTGTCCATCCAAGGATCAGAGTCTAGCTGAACTTTGCATAAAAGTGCATTTGGTGGTTTGCAATACTAAGTTAAAGTTATTAGGTGCTCAAAGTGCTTTTGATGCGTGTGGATAGTTCGTACAACAGCCATCTCTTGCTTCGAAACGGGTTGGTTTTACCGCTGTTGTGCCAGTCAGTTTGAGTGCAGAATCTAAGAACCTCAAAGTTTGAGGCAGTTTGAGGTGTTTCATCCTAGGGTGTTTCCGCTTGCCATCTAGATGGTCCAAACGCATACATCGCTCCACATGTAGAATGTCGCTGAACCTCCCGCCTGTGTCCAGCGATGTAGGGATCGGTCCATTCCTTTCAAAGGACGAAACGGCACCATTTGGAGAGATGGGTGTAGAACATGTGTCTTTCCTGCACAGGTGAGCAACGATGCTTTGATACCACCAGAAAAAAATAGCGAAATAACACAGCACTACTTGAACTACCAGCGCGCCTGAAATGGTCACTGAGCTTGAAAGCCTCATGTAAGATATGCCTAAGAATCCTTTGGGCCCTCCATGACGCCCTAAACACCCTTGCCATTGGGTTCCGGATTCTTAGAGTTAGAAGAACTCATGCACCGTTAATCAAACATCCTTAGTTGAAAGTCGTTGATTACATTCTCAGTGGATGGGAGGTGCAAAACCTGGTTCTTTCCATTCGCACCACTTTTGACGGAACAATCTGAGGAACCTTGCTTTTTTAGGGTTCCCTGCTTGAGGGGTATATATATATATATGTATACTGTAAGTGATTTGTGCTTTTTGGGCATGGATGTTGCCTATAGAGTTCAAGAAACAACAGAGAATTTTGCCAGGCCACCTAGGTCGCTAGGCCCGGCTGCGAGTAGCGTGGTGTAACACACCCGACTTCCCAGTGAACTGGGCCGAGCGCCGATGGCGGGGCAACCTGAACCAAATGGTCTTCCGGAGGGGAAGGGATTTCTGAGTGCAGTTGGTCTTCGCCATTTCTGAACCCATTTGTGACTGATGGGAGTTTGGTGTGGGGATTTTCGTGGATTCTCAAAGGTCTGGCTTTTGGGCATGTCGCCAGGCCATCGGTTGGCACCTGGCTGATGCCACTGAGCCTGGATCAGGCGCTCAACCTCGCAACGGCCAGCGTGACCGGAGATCGCCCCACATACTTGCTCAAACCATGTATGAGCTGTCCCCGAGTTACTCGCAGTGATTTGCTACAGGAATTGTGGCTTTAACCAACGAAATCCGACGTCCGAGTCCGTATGCGTGGCCCTCTAGGACCTGAGTGGTTTGACCACAACACATTAGGAGGTTTTACCCATCTAGTTGTGAGGGTCAAAAACCCTAGCTATGAGGGTCCAAAGAGCTTTTGGCTATATATGGACAATTTGTTCTATGGGAAACAGGAGTCAGACAAGTCAGAAAAGCCCAAGCACTTGCCACCAACTTTGTCCGTACAATTCATGAGTTGGTAGTTGAGCCGCATTTGACAGCGCTTTGGTCTGAGATTCACTCCTTAAACACACACAAATACACAAATGTGCCTGTAAGGCAAAACTACGGATGACCCAGATGTCAAGATGGTGAGTGTTTTTAGCTCCATAGTTGGGATTGGTGCAACATTCACTGTTTGTTTGCTTGTTTGGGATTGTTTGGGTGGATTTCACTCTTTACACGGCTGCTTACCCTTCGAATTCTAGCTAACACAACATTGTATTAACACAATTCTCGGAATCAGCCAGTGTTTTGTTACCTTGAAGCAGCAGCAATTGAATACACTTTGAAACTTTGAAGACACGTGGTTACCTCTCTTCTTGTACACTAACTGAATCTAACTGACGTACTGACGTACATGCTTGTGCAGACACCCAGCCTCAGGTCCTGACCGCAGAGAACCGAACAACAAAAAAGGGGTTTCGATCCGAGTGATCCCTATGAAAACATCTCAAACGTTAGAAACACTGGACATCGTTTGTTAAATGCAACAAAAGCATGGTTGGTATTGGGAAGGTAAACATGTGTAAGTAGATGTGTGATCTTATTCAATCACCCAAAATGTATTGATGTGTTTATTAAACCATAGGAAACCAATATGTGGGCTTGTTCTTTGTTGTTTCAATGATCCGAACTTCCGAACGCACCGGAACTTCATGAAGCACTTCAATTGCTTCATTTAGCAAACTGTTCCAAGCTCTTGGTCTTTGTTTTAATTTCATTGTTTTCATTACATTATATTCATGTGGAAGGCTGCGCTCCCAAACTCGCATGGCCCAGTCTGACATACGTACCCAAATAGTATAACAGAATCGCTGTCAGACACGGACACTCATCACCGTCATCTTTTTCATGTTCTCGCTCCTCATCCTTCTGCACTCTCCATTCTCCATTCGACCCTCAATTTCGTCCTCCTCACAGAATTGCCGGTGATCTTCCACACATGGACCGGACATAGCTTTTTGGATCAGTCCATTTGGCTTCGCTTCGCCCCCGACAGACCGACGGACCCCCCAACAGCACCCCGACACCAGGACCACCGACCTCCATCGTCTCTCTTCGGCAGGTCTCCCACACGACACCGGAGGCGTCGCAGCTGCACCGGCGCGGGTCCACCGAACCGGAGGTCGGACGCGGAGTCGTTGGTTTTTTTTTCCGGTGGTATGGTATAGGGCGTTTTGGGAGGTCAGTGGGACTGGGTGGGGGGGGGCTGTCCGAAGCGGCACCAGACCTTGTTGGGTGAGACGGTGAGACCGGTGTGTCTTCGGCACTCCCAGAGACGGTGCTCAAGTGGGTGGAGGGTTGACTCTCTAGCACTGTCGGGGTCGTTTTTGAAGAAGAAATGAACACCCCGAATCACCTCTATGGGGCTACGAAGTGCTTTATACTGTGCTGTAGACATCAACACTGGAGGGATCTTGAGGGATTGAACTGACGCGAAGCTCCAAAATCAACCTGGAGGGTTTCAGGGTTGAGACTGTGATGATCAAGGTGAAAGAGGAACAGGCTTCAGTTTGGGCAAGGAAGCCCCGCCCTCCCAGGGGCCAGGTTCCAGGTTCCATTGCTGGATTTGCAGCGAAAGTTGTTTTGTTACTGTAGTATCATCCACTAGCGAACGTGGTGATGGAATCTAACGTTCTATATTCCGGTCTGGAAGACTTCCATAGGCACCCTTTGAGCTGTTTGTGACTTTGGTGAAACATTAGCATCAAGCTAGCCTGTCATGTTTTCCTTCGTTTCTCCAGCTTCTGATCGGAATTGGAACTGCACCATGGACTTCATTGAAATTAACGCATGTCCCAACCAGGAACTTCTATAATTGGGTCAGTTTGTATATGCCTTGCCAGCTGTGTGAGGCAGGCTTTCAACAACCACAACTGTTCACCAAACGGGACCACAACCGCCACCAACGGAGGTGGCTATCGGCGATTGGCTTCTGGCGCCCAACGGCAGTTTCAACTTGAAAGGCTTGGGCCACACCTCCATGGAGTGTTGTGCCTTGGCAGGTTGGGAAGACGGAAAGGGAGCGCTTCCAAGAAACCACACGGAGAGTGAACACGGAGAGTGAACACCTATTGTTATTGTGCAAAGTGAACACATATGAACACGTGTCTGACTGGCGGAGTTCGGGTGGTTTATAGACATCCCTCGCTATCTATTCTCCTTCCAACAAGCCACCCGAACTCTGTGCTGGTATAGCTTTGTACCCGGGCTCCCTTTTGGGACCTGACGGAAGCCGACTCGAGAAGTCTGGCAATTAGCGGCGGTTGGGGGTTCCCAGGGCTTTTTCTTCGCTGGATATTCGCACCCTCTCCATTCCCAACCTTTCAGAAATTCGCTGGCCACTTGTCATTCTTGACCTCGGCCTCCAGGTGTCCTTCTTTTAGATTGTTGTCGTAGCCATGCCAGGTCTGCCCATGTGGTGTGCCCTTGGTTTGCTGTGCTCCACCCCTTGAAGCCTCGAACTGCCCAGAAGGACTGGAATTTCTATCCACCCCACCTGCCTCCCTCCCTCCCTGCCTGCCTCCCTCCCTCCCTGCCTGCCTGCCTGCCTGCCTGTTTGGCTGCCTGCCTCCCTCCCTCCCTGCCTGCCTGCCTGCCTGCCTGCCTTCTTCCTTCCTTCCTTCCTTCCTTCCTTCCTTCCTTCCCTTCCTCACGGGTGCCTGTGTTCAAGATGCTTCGACTGGTCTCACCCAGGTGAAGTCGAACGGCTCTTGACGAAGGCTTTGATGGAGATGGATGGCGAACTTGCTGGGGCCCCTCGGCACCGACCGTCTTCGTCCTCGGATCGATCCGTCGGCGCCAGCGAGATCCGCTGAGAGGCTTGTAGGGCGAATTGGGATCCGACGGACGTTGGGAGAGGCGGTGTGGGCTGAAAATGGCTGTTTCCGGAGGACAGAAAAACCATGAGACTTGGGCCATCTGTTCTCCAACTCGAACTGCAACTACCCTACACTCCTAGTAAAGATCTAGTAAGTACTGTTCAAGACTGCCGTGACTCGTTTCGAGGCTTCCCTGTTTGACCCGCCGCCCGCCATCGATCCTTCGACCGAATGTCCGCCGTACGTGACCAGCTCCACGACATCCGTGGTGGTGCGACGCGACGTGGGTGGAGACGTCGGGCTCAGACGTTGCGACCTGAAAAACAAGTGAGACCAAGAGAGGTTAAGTGGCCTGGGACAGTCTATCGGGTTCTTCAACCTCTGTTGGGACGTTTGGTTTCTGGATGTTTCTGGCATTTTGGGGGGTTTGTCCCTACCTTCTCAGGACAGGAGCCCGGATGGGACTTTCATGGTGTTCCCTAGGGTGGGCTGCTGTCCACTATGTTTGCAGTTTTTATGTAAATATGCCAAAGAGCCATGCACCGATTGCTGCTGTCCACTCAGGAATACTATGCGTTTGCAGCACATCCCATGAATCCAGGAGTGATGCTGCTCATTGCTCATGGTGATCCGCTTAAGCCAAGAAACAAACTGCATCAGTCTCGCTATATATGATGTATATTTCTCGTGAGAAAGATGATTCAAGTAGTACGGGGGATGTCCTCAGAACCCCATAGCTGTGGGTAGTTTGTATACGTATTAATATACTGTTTATGCTGCATGAGACAAAACTTTGGAGAGTATCAGATGGCCATCTAAGCACATATCATGGCGAAAGTATTTCTACTCCACGATCGAGTCAGTCGGTGCGACAATACGGCATGGTGGTGCTTTTGTCGAAACTGAAGCACCCCTTGATCCTTCACTTGCACCTTCAACTTCCGCCTCAGCACGAGCAGGACCTGGAGGCCACGCACGCTTTCAGGGTAAGTGCGAAGGCGCAAAGAGCCAATCACCAGGATTAGCAGCCGATCACGACATTGTTGGCGATCCGCCCAACAACCCTCGGGCCCAGCTGCCCTTGACCTAGAAAGTAAAGTCGAGATGAGGACAGCAAATCGCGCGTTCTGGCCACTACTGCAATGTCGCTGATAGGGTTCATGTCGCCTGCTGCCTCCGGACAGTCACGCGCGCGAACCCGTCGACGCATTAGGAAATCGCATCGGTCCAACAAAATGATTCTAGCCCTGTGTCCAGATTTCGATTCCTGGAGTGTGTTTCAGATCCGCGAGGTCCTAGCAGAGTTTTACATGTTTTACGAAGTCTTTGCGCCGTTTCCTATGCATCCCTGATGGGTTGCAAGACTTCTTCGAGGGAATGACTGCTTCTGTCGGTGAGAAGCTGACATCTTACTCTGATGGCCACATACACGGGCTCAGGTTAGCTATCGACTCGCTTTACCAGTTTGCTGCAATTGTCAAGGGAGCAACTTTAGGATTCCACTACTCAACGGAACAAGGTGATTCCCTTCTTTTGGGACCACCCCTGGCAGTGGGAGCCTACATTGATGGTCGTATCCACATCCCTGTGAGCGTAGATGCTTTGCCTGAAGAACTACCAGACAACCTTGGTCAACTTTTGGGGAGTGACAGGATCTCACAGCTTTGGTAGAAGAGGCAAGGAACCAAATCGTCGCCGCTGAAGCAAGTATGTCCCCGACAATAGAGGTCATATATAGCGGTATCGAGATGTCCATGCCGTCGAAGCTTGACAGATTGAAATGTCTTACGTCCTTTCATTCAGATTTTTGCTGATGAGGCTCATAAGCAGCTTTTCCTCATCAGTCAAAAAGATTTGCAGCACTCCTGTCAGGTCTATGCTGACAAACCCACCAAGGATCATGGTCAACAAGTGCTCTCTGACTTACAGCGGGTTGAACACTTTGTTCATCGGCAATTGGGCCTGCGCGGTGACCCGCCTCACATCCAGGCCAACACGGCCCTCATAGCACAAAACTTGACTAGCGCAGCTTTCCGGTGCTGGAGCTGGTTGAGCAGCTTTGTCACGGAGCCTACCATGATTTGGGGCAGGCTTCATCAGGCCTTCAGAAATTTCTTGTCGTCCTCTCAGCCCACTCTGCTCACCAACATCCCTGAACTTGACGATGTTTGGTCCCATGTTGATGAAACTGCACAAGAAGATGTGGGTGAATTTGTGGGACATCTCTGGACCACAGCCAATCCTCAAGGCATTGGTGGAAAGTTCTTCCACAAAAGACACAATGGGGTATTGGAAGAGAGAGAACAAGTACCGATCAACCTGATCTTTCCTTCAGGTCACACCAGAGCGCACTGGGAGGATCTCATCAACCTTTGGGGGGATGAAGCAGAGGGCCAATATCTCTACGGCACTCCCTCAACCATCATCCTCCACATCCAAAGGTTTGAACAACACCAGCAAGGGTGGACCAAGCATCATCGACGCCTCAGTGTCCCCACGATTGTGACCATGCCATATTTCAATGATGGCATTGAGATCCAAAGCTAGCTACAAGATTGTGGCAATGATCCTTCACCAAGGAGAAACCCACGAGAATGGACATTTTGTGGCCATTCATGCCATCGACAACACCTATTGGGTTGCGGATGACAATCAATCCCCTCAACCCATTGAGACTTTAACAGCCAAACAGGAACGGGAAGTTCTACAGATATGGTTGGTCCATGAGCCATCTGATGAATGGAAGAAGATCAAATCATGGAAGAACCTCAACCTCCTCACAAGAAGAGCAAAACACTCTATGAAGATGTTCACCTTTGTTTTGCCAACGTCACCACCTTTGGACGGAAAGTGCAGGACTGGGTGTGGTCGAAAGGAGATCATCTCCTCTTTCTCCAGGAGACACATCTCAGCGAGAAGAAGTTGCAAGAGACTCTAGAGTACTTTGTGGCCCGAGGCTGGAAAACTCTGGGCGTTCCTGCCACGGACACTGGGAGAGGAGGAAAACTGGGGGTTCCTTTGTCTACACCCACCACACCATCATGTACACGGACTGCAGCGCTTCACCAAAGATGGAAACGGTTGGGTGGCCGTTGACTACCAAAGAGAGGGCTTGCACATCGCCATCATTCAACTCTACCTTTGTACTGGGGAAGCGCTTCAGTCCGCTCTTAGTGCCGAGATACTGGCCAATCTCTTCGGGTTGTGATTGGCAAAATCCACCATCAGAGCTTGCTGCCATGGTGGTACAAAGCAAGTTCAAGGCTCATATCAAGGCCACTGAAGGTCCCACCACTTTGCATGGTAGTCACCTGGACTACTTGCTGGTTTCCAATGAGTTGGTGGACTCACTTACACTGGACATCCTATGGGATGTACCTTGGCGGCCTCATTGTGCTCTTCTCATCAAGTTCTTCTCATCAAGTACAGCAGCAATCATGAGGCCATCCCGGTTCAACAGATCACATCTTTTCCAGCCATTGGAAGAGCTTTGAGTCCACCACATGCTTGGGGAGATTTTCCTGAGAGGAACGGGCCCTTCTACATTCTCAATTACCAGATCACTGGTCTTGGAACTGATTTGGCCAGATGGTGCACCAGATCTGAACTCTACCTCACTCAGGGCGGGGTTCCCCGCTCTCAGGCTCCCGCCCTGTCCAACTCTGGAAAAAAGGAGGACCGGCCTTTTGGGAGAGAATGGCCACTCGCATCAACCACTTGCACCATAGCCCTCATGAAGGAGTCAAGAAAGACCTCATTCAAATGCTCCTTGACATTCCGCAATATGCTACAGCAGATCTGGATCAGGACAAGTTCAACTTGTTGATGACCCAATGGATTGACAACCAGCACGAAGACCCACAAGAGCTCCAGAGCATCACCATGTCCCAAGAGCACCAAGCTCACATCGGCTTGGCGTTGGCCAACACTGACGAGTACAGAACTAGGTTGCAAAATGCACATTCCAAGGGACTACGTGGCCTCTTCAGAACCTGGCGGCAGAAGGACATTCCCTGGCAACGGCCATTTCAAGAGTTGCCCCTCAATGAAAGACTACAAGCTCGACAAGAGCAATGGGGAGCGATTTGGCAACCAGTCGATGAGCCCTGTCCGATCAGAGGTTTCAGGAAGCTTCGTGAAGATGCCATGATTCATGCCCGCACCATGCAGAGCATCAACCCTCTTTCACTTCAACGAGTGATCAAGAAGTTGCCCAATAAAGCAGCAGGACCAGATGGCATCTCATATGACTTTCTGCGCCAACTACCCTTTGAAGCGGTGACGCAACTTTTGCTGATCTCCTCAACCAGGTGGAGAAAGAAGCCTTGTTGCCAACGCAAATGCGCATGGTCAACATCTTAAGTGGAAAGACCAATAGCACTCACTTCTTGCCTTTATCGGCTTTGGAACAGAGTCCGCAAACAGGACATTGCGCGCTGGCAATTTTCGCTGGACTCAACTAACTATGCCTTGGGTTCACGCACGACCCAAGAAGGATTGCCTTTCCATTGCTGTCGGAAGGATGATGCATAGTGAGCTGCACAGTGAGCTTTGCAAGCACACTGGCATCCACACAGTGACTTGCCTGGTTGCTTCTATGATACTGTCACGCTGGACCACCTGATTCAACTGGCCCGAGAGCTTGAGTATCCACTTCTACATCTGAAGTTGGCCATTGATTTGTGATCCCATCTTCGTGGTCACAGAGGCCTACCAGGCCTACAAGGTCTTGCAAGCCCAACTCACTCAGGCTGGTCTCCGTCTCGCTCCAAAGAGACGGCCAATGCCCTCAAAGGGATTTTGCAGCTCGGTGATCCAGCACATTACGATGTCTTTTGTGATTTGGGCATCGAAGCAACTGCTGCGAGACGGCGCATGACACAAGTCCGCAAAAGATTCCAAAAGGGACGTGTCAGAGCAGGGATCACCCACCGCCTCAATAGCTCGGTGAAATACAGACTCCACAGAGGAGCGATCCATCCTGTGATGACCTGTGGGGCCCAGGCTAGCGGCTTAGCGCCGCAACGAAGACAACAACTCAGGGTGATGACAGCCAAGGGACTTCGCTTACAGAAATCTGGCTCAGTGGACATTGTCTACGACATGAATTGCAAGCACCCGGACCCTGGTGATTCAATCATCCTGCAGCATGTGCACACTGTCTGGAAGATCTATCATAGCTTCGATGAGAGCAAACAGCACCTCTTCAAGACAACCTGGAACACCGCCTTTGGTGCTCTCCAACGGGCCAAGCACCGGTGGCAGGTGGTCACTGGCCCGCTTCAGGCACTTCAAGCCTACATGCTGGACTATGGCTTCGACATCCAAGATGGCCAGAAGTGGCACAGGCAGGGGTTTGCATCAATCCCTGATTGCACTCTTTCGCTTGACCTACTGTGGGCTGAATTGGAGTTCAAGCTCAAAAAGGAATTCCACTGGCAGCGGCAGCGACTGATGAGATTGACCAGGTATCAGGGTTGTGATCATTTGGAACAGCCTCAAGCTCCAGGCCTCCACGAGTGAACGGCTGGCCAAAGCTCTGCGCGCCTTCCATCAAGGCACACTAGATGGGCAAGACACTCTGCGGAGCTCACCTTTGTCCATATGCTTTGGGAATGCTCCTACTGGCAGGGTAAGGTCAAAGAAATACCTGATGAATGGAAACATCGCATCAACCAAAACATAGAACTAGAGATTTGGAATCGAGGTCTCTCTCAACTCCCATTCAGAGAGCGTCATGGGGGCCCTTCTACCTTCCGTGGGACTTGATGCCCACTCACATCGGCCATGGGCTTGTTGCCTGGACATTGCCCCAACTTGCGTGGACAAGCGGCATCAACAATACATCTTTGCCATTGGGATCTTTGAGATTGCCACCAAGGAGTGTGTTGCCTCCATCACTCATGGGATATGCCCTGGAGATGCTTCGAGACAACGAGCCACCTTCTATGCCCTCAAGCAATTGGCACTGCACGTCCTCGATCGGACACACGTTGGCATCTCCAACATGCACGTCTGGAAGGCCTGGACGCCCTACATGGCCATGGACAAGTATCCTGACCTTCATCAAGGCCTGGAATATGAAGACTTTGAGATGGTCAGACCATTGCTCTTCCTGGCTCACCTCCAGCAGGACGAAGGAATGCGAACAAGGAAAAATCTCCAGCGCTCAATCAAACGTCTGGCCCAAGAACGAGCCAGGGAGGAAGCCCCGACTGAGTTTCTCGCCTACCAGAAGGCCATTGATGAAGACATCGGGGACATCCTCTTAGTGGCTGCTGAAAGGATTGACGTGATCTTACGAGACACACAACACTACATCTTGGACATTGCCCCGGCCCACTAACAGTGAGCACAAAGATGGGCACCACCAAGCGCACGAGAAAATTGGACCCCAAAAGCGGGTTTCTAAATTTGAAAAGTCATCTACCTACTAAACTGAATAGTCCCATTATATGTTGGCAGCACCTTTTTCTCCGTCATACCTTTGCCACTGGTCCACTGCTTTGGTGCTCTACACTGTTACACGGCACACTCTTGTGCCCAAGCCAACAAAGCCTTGCAAGGCTGCGCGCCCTGGTCTTCTCCGAGCCTTTCTTGAACCTGGGTTGGGGCTGGCTTGGTCTGGGGAGGTCCGCTAGCAAAGTAAATGTCCGGCTAGGGCTGGGCCTGGGGCTTGCTGGGCTGGGCTGGCTTGCTGGGGATGTCGACTAGCAAAGCACGGGAACAGCACGAAAGAAAGCACGAGAAAGCGCACGAGGTTTTGACAGTGGGATTGGTGCTCCGAAGATTGTCCCCGCGGAAACGGTGGATCAGGACACCGGTGGTCCTGGGACTCCGGGGGTGTGGGGAGGGGGTTGGGGGGTCTGAGGGGGTTGGGGGGTCTCCTGGCTGGCAGGTTCTTCGACCTTGTGCGTGGCGTGGGCAAAGAATTTCCATGAGCCATGTGAGTGTCTCCTGTGAGACATGCCCATGCAGCCCATGCATATGATGCAATATAAATTAAAGATATTAATGATATTATTACATAATATATTCATAGCTTTTGGGTGTACTAGTCTAGTAGTAGTAGTAATGGTAGTAGATGTAACCCAGTGCAATGTAACTCAACATCAGGTTGGTGAAAGACTGGGAGTGAATGAGATGAGAGGGCCTTCGGGAGTGAATGAGATGAGATGACAGAGTTCTAAACCTTCAAACTTCAAATCACAATTGAAGATGGTACCTTGTGGAAGTGGCCTGATTTCAGTTTGAGATTTCTGGTGCTTTTTCTCTTGGTAAGTTTAGTGTGGAAAGCATTTTGCTGTTACTGGGGGGGGGCAGGGTCCAAACTACATCAAGAAGAAGACGGAGGGCACCAGTCAAGAAAAGATTCCGCTGGTCCAGCAGAAAAAAGACATGATCTCCTTCCTGCTGCAGCACACCGACCACCAAGGTCATGACTGGCAACCGCACCGCAGTGGGGCCATGTGTGGTTTGTGCCGCATTAGAGTTCCTGTCAAATCCATGCTTCAGGAAATCAAAGAAGTCATGAACCAAGAGCGCAAGGCACAAGGACCAGAGAAGCCTGTGAAGACTCCTCGGATGACTATCATCCAGCAGCTCATATCCACTTCCTCAAGCTCGAGAAGGCCTACCTTCGATGCACGCAATGCAGGGCATATGTGCTGGCCCGCACAAACAAGCCGGCTTCGAAGCCTTCATCGGCGAGACCTGCCGAAGTGGCCCGCTGCCACCGGCCATGTGGAAAGGCCATCCCACCCATGCCATGGTGAGGACTGGCATGAGCGCGCAGTGTGTGCGTTGTTCCGCCAGAGGGCGCATTGTCGATGAGGAGGTGGTCATTAGCAAGGCCCTCAAGCACACTTGCCCTGTCAGGTCACAAGACCTTCGACAGTTTTTCGGCTAAGCACCTCGTAGCACAGAAAAGGTCCGTGCAAAAAAATGTTTATGTTGATTCACAGGTCTTCATTGGATAAAGCTTTTCGGCGTGCTCGAAACGCCGACTGGCTGTCACAGCCAACTGTTGCCCATTCGCCCAGACTCCGCAGGATTATGACTAAGTAGGCTACTGGCTAGTTCCAACGGCCGTGCGAAACGTTTCGGACTCATTTCCTGGATCTTTTGTACGCTTGGAGATGCACGAGCTTCCAGGAGGCTTGAGCTCCAAGGAGAAGGACTCACTGGCCTCCAAGCAACTTGGGAGATGTGGATGGTGGGGAGCGGCTGGTGGGTGTGTCAGGGGTTGGGTGGCTCAGAAGAAACGCGCCAAGGGGGCAGAGCAGATATCTTGATACCCTCAACCCATCGACCCTTCTGCAGAATCTGTGGTGGACCGGCTCGCGAGCTTTGACTACGTATATAGGGAACGTGATGGTCTATCTCTGACCAGCTGCTTCTTCCGCGGAGTCCGTGGTGTACCGTACATGGCAGGCATGTCCGCAGTGTGTGTAGCGCGCGTGACGACACGAGTAGTACGTAGGGAATGTGATGGTTTAAACGAAGGGTGGCAATTACATTCCCCATAACTAACAGAAAATCATTCTTTTCTTGGTGGCAAAGCATCATTTGGAACAAATGATGGTGGCAAATGATGGTCATTGCTGGCTGGTCCTTCAACTTCATAGAGCAGACAGGTGGCTTGTACCAGCACCACGAATCCTTCACTGATTCAACAGGAGTCACCTTCCCGCTATATAAGATTAGATAAAAACAATGTTTAGATAATATATATATATATATATACTATATACATACTGTAGAATATACAATTACAAATATGGAGAGAGAGACAGAGAGAGCGAGATATGTTACACATATGATTTCATATTCATGTTTGTCATACATTGGAGTCTTTTAGTTTTGAAGTTGCTCCCCAAGGAAGCTCCTCTTCGAGTCGTTCGACGCTGCAGGCCGTACCTTGGACGAGCACAAACACATCACACTCCAACAAAAACATGACATAGAACGTCGTCTTTGGGGTCCGAGTCCACTTCCATGGTGATGTGTTGGGGGGGCAGGGTGCCGGTGTGGGTGGCGTGTGAAGGCCATTAAACTGGGTGGTTCCATTTCGCGGGCGTGTTGCAAGATGGTTCTGGAGGTCGGGTTCGAGTGGTTTCCACATGATTTCTAATGAACGAGATTATATGTCCCTAAATGGATCCACATACCCTCTGAGAAGGTGTTTGGAGACACTGTTATGTAGGTTTGCAGGGTCCAGTCGTACCTTCTGAGAAGGTACTTGGATCATCTTGGATCCCAGGTACATATATATATATATACACACCTAGATCTTCCAACTATGCACAATTTATTTCTTTTGGCTGGTTTTATACACTAAAGGCATACATCTTGCATAGTTGGAAGATCTAGGTATATGCACAAGCTCAAGCTATATACGGCGTCGAACGGTGCATGGTTTTTCAGTGCTTGCGCTCCCACGGCCACCGTGCTGGCGCCGGCTTCCCTCGCTGTGTCTGCACCAAGGAGGGATCTATGTCACCGAGAAAGAGGACGTGGCGTTGTGGGTCAACGCAGAGAAGCACTTGCAGATCTTGGTGCATCAATCTGCTTCTTGGCCGGACATAAGGGCAAAAAATCTTGGAAGACCAATCAAGGGGCTTGTGGGATTAACTTGGCGCAAGGAGAGGCTTCTTTGCTGCAAGATCAGAGGCGTCCAATTTTATTCAGTAACTCAGCAATTAGATCTAGAGGTTTCTTGGCGCTCCAAAGCGAGCAGGATCATAACGGCTTGGTGACATGGAGAGTGTCACCGATCCTTCAAGGTCAAGCACAATGTATAGCCTATTCCGCTGGGAATGGGATTGATGATTCATGTCAAAGCATCGAAAAGCCAAGCCCATGGGGCTGACCCAGCCCTTGGAATTTGTTCTCACTTTCGGGACCCCTTTGCTATACCTATATGTACTAGCATGTACTAGCTATATACCTATTATGTAGTGCCCCCTTAGACCCCCGTGACAGTGCCTGGCTTCTTCTCACTTCACGAACGGTGCCGGCTTCGCGCGCTCGCCGAGGCACAAGGAGAGCTGCAGCACAAGGTGGCCATGGTCGTCTCGGCGCTCCAAGGACTGAAAACCCAGTTCACTCGGGACTCGGGACGCGTTTTTTCGCCATCCTAACACCCACAGCTCCGCTTCCAGCAGGGATCTGGATCGGGCACGCGCGACGCGACGGCCCACCGCCCAGGGGTTAGGAGTCACCCGATTTCGAGTGGCAGGTGGCACGCCTACCGGGCAAGAGACACAAGCTGAATGCAGATGAAATGGCCCTTGCAGGCTTGAATTCTGTACTTCAGGACTCTTGTTGGGCCGATTGTGTGCAAAGGACGCCATGCGGGCAGAAGTGGTTGCGTTACACCGAGGACACCGGCGTGCCGTACTGGGCACAAGGCATTGTTGGGTTCGCCTCGGTTCCGCATGCCATCCCGAAGGCTCAAGAGTAAAATATGATGTAAAATGTTGTACCAGTGCTGTACCGTGCTGTACCCTATCAAATAAAGGTGGTGCTTGACCTTTTGCCGGTACTCTTCGTGGAAAATGAACAAGAATTTCTTGAGAGGTGGAACAAGACGGCGCACTCTTGGCATGAGAGAGGCCACTTATGAAGAAGAACGCCACGAACGCTCAATGTTTGCCTTCGATTAGTCCATCATGGGTTCAGCGCAGGATGACAAGTGGGGCATATGTTCAAAATTGCCCGCAGCTGCGCGCAGGACGCCGACCAGGATTTTTGGAAAGGCCTGGCAGCTTCGGCGAAACTGACCCAGAGCCAATTTCGGCCAGCATTGTCAGATTTGCTGTTCTCGCCTTCTCTGGAATACGACTCTCACTTTCGGCCCTTGTTACTTCATGAGGGCGCTCTTCAGGGCTTTGTGGCCTAGTCAGGAGACAGATCCGCATCAGAAAGTTCAGAGCGAACTGGATTACCTCCAACCACTGAGAGCGCCGCCGATCCGTTCGGTCTCGTTCAGCTCCCGTCCCGTTCCGTGCCCCGGAACGCCGGTGGTGAGGGCGTGAAAAGGAACCACTTGGAGCCTCATGGAGCCTCATGGAGCCTGTCCTGGCAGCAGGTTTGGTCGTGTTGTGAATCCTAGCTGCTATGCCAGCAGGAAGAGGATGACAGAACTTTGACCAGAGGCGCAGGAAACCAAACAAGAGGAAGAGGAGCCAAATTTCGCCCACCTGCTATCCCCGAACGGAGGGGGGTTTCAGGTACGCTCTGAGACTTCGAAGGCTCCGTTTGGAAGCCACCGGAGGCAACCCGCTGTCGCCTTGGATGCCTTGAAGTTTTTGTCCGGAGTTGGATGGTTGATGCGGTCGAAAGAATAAGACTTCTTCGGTTAACTTGATGGATGTGGAAGATGGCAGTAACTAGATCTCCAGTGAAAGAGGGTTGAATTTGTAGTCCGAAGATGTTTGAAGCATGGCTTTTGTTGGGGCTATCCTTTTCAAAGGTTTGAAGCATGTTTAATTTGAGTCTGGGACAAAGGAACTCCAATTCTAGAATCATCCTCCCAAATTGGAAAAAACAGAGCTCTGAGCTTTGCGTCATGGTTCCTCCAGTATCACATCTATCACCCTTTTTTGCTGCGAGCAGCGTTTGACCCATGTTCCTTTCGTGGGGGTACCTGCTTCAACATGTTCAAAACCTTCCCAAACCCTGGTCCACCGGATTTGGCCCAGGACCCTTGATTCAAGATGGCTATACTTTGAGCCCTTAAGGGGCCATGCTCTATAGCTACTAGCCTGCCCCGCTCTGGAGCATCTTTTCCCACCGGAGATCGACCGGTGAAAACTAACATCTCCGTTTCACCCGGTTCGTGTCAGTCGGTTCGTATAGAGCAAACGGTTCGGTGAGGTGTCAGAGGGCAGGTGTCAAAACCCTTTCCAACGAGGTTCAAAAAGGGAGCCTTGGGTCAAACTGCTACAAATTTGTTAGTGCTTCTATAATTTCACAGCGAGGATCACAGAGTGCTAGGGGGGGATGTTGACATCACAGGACTCTTTGCTATCAATGATTCAGGCTTGATATGCCTGTTTGGTCTCAGACATTTGTGCTTCACTGAGTGAGAACAGACGGCCTGGCACGGCCCACAAGTGTTGTTTTGGCAACCTTTGGAGAAGCCTGGATAAGCCCGGGATAAAGGGAAATCAGCAGGGCAGGAGGTGTTTTGTTTTTACTTTGTTTCATGCATTCTTTGCAACATGAGCCTTGGATAAGCCTTGCACAGGAGGGATTCATGCTTTCAAATGATAACTAAGAACGCTCCCTCGAAGATGACCCCAAGGTGAGCACTTGGATGCACAAACTCGGGTTTCAACTCAACCCCAAGTTTAACCACAGCTTTTTGAACCAGGTAAGCCCTCCCCAGGACCCCAGGGCCCCAGGACGCCTTTGATAAACCTTTAACCAGCAACTTGCTTTGCCTCGAACACCAAACTGCCTGTTGAATTGACGTTGATTGTTCACCATCGTCACGGAAGTCATTACGGAAGAACATCAAGCAACCACTTTTCAGTGGTCACTGTGGGGGATCCAGATTTTCCACAAGGGGAAGCGCAAAAGACCAGGGGTTCAACATGACATCAATCTACTGTATTGGCTTTACAAGCTCTTCATCCCGGCTGGCGCGTGAAGGGCCTCTTAGGAATCCCAAACGGGAGTGCTCCATCTCAATATCAGCTTCACTGGGCCCAAAAATGCTTCCTGGCGACACGCGATGGGTGCTTGAGAAGATCCAATCTCTTGTTCGAAGCAGTCTGGGTACTGGGGTTCATGCAACGCATTTGCAAGCACAGTATGTGTCGAGCACTTGAAGTTCGCACGCCTTAAGGGTCGTATTCTGGATGTCACAGACTTTGCAGTTCTTGCCACGGATCCAAGAATGGGAGGCATTGGTGGGGTTGAAAAGATGTACATTTTGGGATGGTCTTTCCGTGCACGATTTCCATGAGGCCTGCGGGGCTCTATTCGCAAGGTAACACAGCATTTCCCTCACATTGGTTTGGGCAACTCTCAAAGTACTCAACCACTGACGACATGATTTTGTTCGCGGCTTGCCAGGCTTGCCGGCCTTACCCCAGCAACAGACATTGGACTACCATAGAGAGCCCAATACTGACCTACATATGCGGAATATCACCCTTCACGCCCTTGCAGTGTTTGGGGCCCAGTTTTGTTTATCTCTGATCCTTGCGCAGCTGGCCGTTTTGGTCCGTGCGATGGTCAGAGCGGAATGAGTCTCGCTTCGAGTACTTCCGTGGGCGATCAGGTCCAAGTACTGTCCTTTTTCATCGAGGGGCAAAAACCTATGTTCGGGGTGGCCTCATTCTTTGACCCAAGGTGACCATACTTGTATGTTTGGTGCTGGTTTGCTGTGGAAAATTGTGAAGCACTTTTATTTGGTGCTGGACCTCACTCTCGCCCTCTTTAAGTGGCATCGTTTCATGCCCCTTCATAGAGCTCTCGCGTGCAGTTCCATCTCCCACATGAAGACCTCCCCGCCACAATTATATAGCGGTCTTAAATGCTCGGCAGAAGGAACTGCGTGATGGTGCGCGATTGATATGACGCGGGCGTGAAAACAGGCAGTGCAAGTGTGGGTAGCTTGGGTTTGGAGCATGAATAAGTGGTTGTAAATGTAATGGTAAGGGTTTGCTGGATTTGGTTTACTAATTAATTGCTCTAAACCGTATCCTTGCTTTTTCTTCCAACTTTTCTAAAAACAAATATAACTTAACTAACGTTTAAGGTCAATAACAGATCTGATCTGGATGCCTGTTGAGAGGGCGGTTTTGCCATTAGCCATGTGGACTGCAACAGTTGTATCAGCCATGCCGGATCATCGGCGGAGCTGCTGGATTCCGCATCACACCGAAACTGTGGAATCCAACAGCTGCGGTGTTCTGGTGATGGGTACCTCCCTCCAGTTTGTGATTATATACCTGAGAAAATGGGGGCATGACCCGAACAAAAGACAGGTATGTCGAAGCGGCGAGATGGAAGTTGGGGCCAGGCATATGGCTGTGGGTCAAAACCTCACCCTGCAAACCATGGGATCGGTTGACATCCCTTGAAGAGAAATAGTACATAATAGTACATTTTCAGGGGTCAACCAGGGTCACAGGGTTTTGACCCACACCAATGATCTGGTAGGTAATTCCAATCCGGACTAGCTGCCGGGATCAAAATCAAAGCTAAGAGGAATTCCTCAGTTTTGTCCCGTAGCATCGAACTTCCCTTTAGGGGAGCTGGAAAATGATCTTCCAGGTGATGAAGTTCCTCCACAGGTGTGTCGAGGGTAGTTTCCCAAAAGCCCGGGCGGACCAAGTAACACTCACGACAAAACCCGGTTCCTAGGGATCCAGTCGTGCCTTCTCAGGTACAGTGATTGGAGACACTGTTATGTAGGTTTAGAGGGTCCAGTCGTACCTTCCGAGAAGGCACCACTGGATCCCTAGGGAGTTGTAGTTCCCCTTTTTCCGAGCAAGTCGACCGAGTTGGGTCACTTTGCTGACGCAGCGGGAAGAATGCTCACACTCCAAACGTCGGGCGAAAGCGTTCGACAAATTTCGCTCAAGCTCCTAAAGCCTGTGGGTTGCGCTGTTGGTCACTAACATAGGTGGGGAGAATGCCTCCTTGGTTTGAGAACATGCTAGTTGCTGCTAGTTTAAACCCAACTACTGCAATATGAAAAACCAGTCCAACAGTTCCAAAGGAATGGTGTTTAGTCCCCAAGTGGCACCCCTTTGGAACTCCTGGGTGGTGTATATGTCTATACTTCCTACACATTGACTGAGCCACCTGACAACCCTGAGTCGCTTCAAGCCGCTGGCTCAAGAGATAGCCTGTGACCCCTTCTCGACTTCTAGATTCTAGTGGCTTGTACCATAAGACTTGTGGGAAGAGGGGTGCAGGTCTTGAGATATAACTGCTGGGATCTGGCTGGGGTGCTTGGACTGTGAACAGCCTCCAGTGGATCATCAGTTGCACAGGTCGACTGGTGAGACGAGTCAACAAGCCGACGTCTTACAATTTACATATCCTGCCGCAGTTGGTTTCGGTGGACTTGAAGGAACCCACCAGGAAAGTAAGTCCGGTCTGACCTCCAAGACAGACGGACCATGAGTATACATGAGTGGGACGCATGTCAGACGGGAGCACCGGACTCCAAAGAATGGTGAAACATGTTCTACCCAGAGGTGACCCTGGACCCGAACCAACTGTTACATGCTGGTTTGGTCCAACCAAGTTGTGAAGTTGTTGGGTACAAGGCATCGGAGGAATCATGGGCCAACTCCTTGCCATTGTTCTGGCTTCATCGTTACCACTTCATCCGTGGCTTCAGAAAAGGTCCATTGTGATTCACCATGTCCATTGAGGCTTTTGAACCTGGTTTTGTTTAGGGATGTTTAGGGAGATTTTTCCCCTATATATAGGTGAATCCGATTCTGCAGAACATTTCGTTGATCACCCGTGATCGATAGAGACGGGACCTGCATAACAGAGGCGTCGCAGAAGAAGAACCAATAGAAGAAGCTGCGCAAGCAAGCCAGACAGCTCCAGGACGGCGGTGCATGAGAGGTCCCAAGATCGCCCACATTCCACATGATGAAAAAGTACCAGTCACAGCAGCACATTGATGACCAGTTGGCTCGACTCTATGAGGAGCTCTTGAGAGAACAATTGCGCCAACTGCATCAACAATTTGTAGTTCAGCGCAATCGGGCTAAAAGTGACTATTTGATCCATCAGATTGACGAGGTCAAAGTGTGTGCTGAAACCAAAGCAGCCAAAGCTCTATATGGCAAGCATTGAGGTGTTTCAGGCCTGCAAACACTAGGAAGCGGATCAAGACACCCAAGCCGCTTCCCCTCTTGCAAGGTGAGCATGGCCCTGTCCAGACGCAGGAAGAGTGGGAGGCTGCGTGGTTGGCACATTGGAGCAAAATAGAGCTGGCAGAGATCAAACCGTGGGATCAACACCTCATGGACTTCCAGAGGACAACCTCAGATGGATCTTCTGACCATCATCTATCAATGGCCATGCCCACACTCCTCGATATCGAGACGGCCATCCACATGCTCAAGAAGGGCAAGGCCCCGGGAGAAGATGGTCTGATCAGTGATCTTTTCCGACATACGCCTGCCCAAGCAGCTCAAGTGCTGTACCCACTCTACGTCAAGCAGTGGATGAGAGGACAAACGCCCCTGCGACACAAAGGGGATATCACGATTCCCTTAAGCATGTGTTGCCACATTTGTCGCGGCTTGCAGGTGCAAAGGCGTAAGCCGGATGACGTTTTCTGCGAATGACATGAATAGATAAAGAATTGAAGAGACACTGCATCAAACAGCTGCTATCTTGCACAGTTACAGGGAATTGCCTCCACTCTGAACTACTCCCCTCCCGATCTTCTCGGTTTTCGTGCCCGGGTCGTGCCGGCTGGGTCCCTCCACGAGCCGGTCCAGGCACAGCCCATGGAGGTGGTGGTCCAGGCCGCCAGCGAGGTGCCCCACGGCTGCTTCGTGGCTGTGCGCATCGGCGAGCACCTCAAGCAGCGCCTCAGCGGTGTTTGAAGCGGAGGAGGAAGCGGTGGGAAGCGGTGGACGAAGCGGGACGAGAAGACAAGAGAGAGGGGGGGCTGGGTTGGATGGATGGTAGTGGGTGTAAGTCACTAGCTGGATAGAGGATGTGGAGAGTGAGATGTTTTTTTGCTGGGGGTTGCGGATCTGGAACTGAAGCCACAGAAGGTACAGGATGTTGTTTTTATGCTTAGGGTTAGACAAATGTCATAACAGAGGTTGAGGTTTGCTTGCCATGGGTGCTTGGTTTTCCCGGCCCAATTTTATAATATAATATTGCAAACAAAGTTGGTTTTGGTGCAGTCAAAGTGGGAAACACAGAAGTGGACTGATGCGTTCAGTTTGT